CCTACACTTGTATGATGAGGATGATTTGGACCGGCTAGAGCAGGTAAATAAGACACTGCACAATGCTTTTCAGCTGCACAGATGCTGAGAGGGAAATTTTCACCTAATACCTAAAACCCTCTTGTTTCCATTTCACATAACATCTATTAACCAGGATATATGTTCTTCAAATGCCTACCAACACTTGCAGTTGCTTACTTCATTCTATCTACCTATGATGTTCATTCTGTTATCACAGCATATAGTTTATATTCATGTTTGCTGTCCACATTGTAGAGGTAAGAAAACAGCATAATTGTGTTCTATTGCTCCTGCCCCATTCAGTGTCATTCATGTCAATTCTGCTTAGTTTTCATGAGATAATGGATATGAATAGGTACAGTGTGATTTGCTCTCTGCAGATGGAAGATTCTGAAGGGACAGTAAGACAGATCGGTGTATTCTCTGAAGGCATCAACAATCTCACAGTAAGTTTGTAAGACACAGGTGAATGACTGGATATGTGACTCTAATGATCGCTGCTAAAATCACTCCAAAGAACTACATGGCATGGGTTACTGGTGGATCCCACCTATAATCCTAGCTACTTAGTTGGCTGGGGTTTGAGGATCAGATTTCAAAGACAGCCTAGGAAGGAAAGTCCATGCATGAATGAGTAAATACTTAAAAAAAAAACAGCAACAAAAACTACACAAGACTAGGTGTTGGTGGCTCACACCTTTCATCTTAGCTACCTAGGTTAAAGTCTGGATAGGAAAGTGTGTGAGACTCTTAGCTCCAATTAATCAGTAAAAATCCAGACGTGGAGCTGTAGCTCAAGGGATAGAGTGCCAGCCTTCAGTGAAAAAGCCAAGTGAAAGGATGAGGTACTGAACTCAGTCCTCCCCAAAGTAAGTAAATTATCCTAAAGAACTTCATGGGGAGAGGCACTAGTGGCTCACTACTCAGTTCCCAGCTACTCAAGAGGATGAGATCTGAAGATCATAGTTCAAAGCTCCCCTCCCTAGGAAAGACCCACACACATACCCTGAGACTCTTATTTCCAATTAACCAGCAAAAAGACAGAAGTGGAGGTATGGCTCAAGTGGTAGAGTTACAGCCTTGAATAAATGACACCAAGTAAGTGTGTAAAGGCCCTGAACTCAAGCCCCAGTACTGGCACATGAGTGAGTGAATGAATGAATAAGTAAATTTATATATATATTTATATATATATATATATAATTGCCTGGGTGTTAGAGGATGAGTGATGCTGTCTGAGCACAGCGCGTGTCTCTGGTAACCATCTGCTTCCGCCTAGTATATGCTGAAAGAAGACGACATGTTTAAGGACTTCGCTGCCTGCTCCCCAAGTGCCAGCATTACTGATGAAGACTCCAATGTCTGATGTCGCCCCAGAGCCATTTCCTCTTTCTTCCACTTAAGTGTTCAGATGCAGCACCCAGTGACACATTGTATATTGTTCATGGTTCAAGTTTCACATCTACAGGTGGAAATGAAAAGCAGGGGACCTGGGCCTATTTTGAAGATGCCATGAAAAACAAGACACAGGCAAATAGGAGCATAATTGTTTTCATTCTATTTAATGTAAAAAAAAAAATCTGTATCTGTGAAATATCCCATGTAAAGTAGTGCATTTAAGGTGAGCGTTTCTACTCCCTGGCATGGAGGTGTGAGGAGAAGACATAAGCATGTGTGACTGTATGTGCCTGCCAAATTACAAGTGTTCTGCCACTTGTCTCTTACTGGCTTATTTTTATATATTTTTCTAAATGTATATATACCGTGCATAGAAACTAAATCTTTTATTTGTGACCTAAGGAAGGTAATGAAAGGATCATATGAAAACAAAAGCAAAAGGCAAGAATCTAAATTTTCATATGCCAGCAGTTCCTGAGGAGGGCAGGTGATCTTTTCTTTCTCCACAGTTGTATGTCACAGCCATGGTCCTCCAGACTCAGTATACATGAAATCTACTTCTCTGATAACACATTAAATTGATGATAGTTTATAAGAGCTTTACCCTTAAAAAAAAAAAAAAAAGAATTTTGGCCTCAATCTTGGATCCATTCACGCGCGCGTGCATGTGTGCGTGTATGTGTGTATGTGCGTGCACGCGTGCGAACATGTGTGCGCACATGCTAATACTGAGACTTGAATTGGGCCTAGGTAACGTCGCTAAACTTTTTCACTCAAGACTGGTACTCTACCACTTGAGCTACACCTCTGTTTCTGGCTTTTTGTTAGTTAATTAGAGATAAGAGTCCCATAGACTTTCCTTCCTAGACTGGCTTTGAACCTCAGTCCTCAGATCTCAGTCTCCTGAGTAACTAAGATTACTGGTGTGAGCCATCAACACTGGGAGATCTATTTGCTTTTTTTGAAATAACTTGAGTGGCATTCATAGAACATCGTTTTGAAAGCATCCAGAAGCATTCAACAGCTTCCTTTTTTAAAAAAAAAAAAAAAAAAGTGTACACACAAGCCAGGTGCCAGTGGCTCATGCCTGTAATCCTAGCTATTTTGGAGGCTGAGATCTGAGGATCCCAGTTCAAAGCCAGCTGGGGCAGGAAAATACATCAGACTCATCTCCAATAAACAATTCAGAGCTGAGGGACAGCGCCCAGGCCCAGAGTTCAAGCCCCATGACTGACAAAACACACACATACACACACACACACACACACACACACACGAAATAATTTCTAATAAAATCAGAAGCAAAACAAAAACCTTCACACTGATTTCTTATTTCCTCTTTGCTGGATAAGAACATTAACTACTAACAGTTTGCCTAAACATATTCATTGTACATTTCTCAACTGCCAATGAATGGGGCTTTTATTTCTTTTTTTTTTGGGGGGGGGCAGGGGGTCCGGTCATGGGGCCTGAACTCTGGGCCTGGGCACTGTCCCTCAGCTTTTCAGCTCAAGGCTAGCACTCTACCACTTGAGCCATAGCGCCACTTCTGGCTTTTTTTTTTTTTCTGCCTATGTGGTGCTGAGGAATCGAACCCAGGGCCTCATGCATGCAAGGCAAGCACTCTACCACTGAGCCACCTTCCCAGTGGGGCTTTTATTTCTATCACAATTCAAAAAAAAATTTTTTTTGGTCCCTGGTGGCTTGAACTCTGGGCCTGGGCACTGTCCCTGCGCTCTTCAGCTCAAGGCGAAAAGCTCTACTGCTTGAGCCACAGTGCCACTTCCAGTTTTCTAGTGGTTGTGGACTTTCCTGCCCGGGCTGGCTTTGAACCATGATCCTCAGATCTCAGCCTCCTGAGTAGCTAGGATTACAGACGTGAACCACCGGTGCCTGGCCACAATTCAAATTTTTGAGGCTGAAAATTTAGTTTTTGCTTGTTTGGTTGTGTGCGTGTGCGTGTGTGTGTGTGCGCGCGTGCACATGCACACACGCACGCACACGCTACTATTGGAGCATGAACTTGGTCTGGGCGCTGTCCGTTAGCCTTTTTGCTGACACGCTACCACTTGAGCCCTAGTTCCACTTTGGAGATAAGAGTCTCATGGATTTCCCTACCTAAGTTGGCTTCAAATTGTGATTCTCAGATCTCAGCTTCCTGAGTTGCTAGGATTACAGATATGAGCCACTGATGCCCTGCAAAAACTTGTTTTATAATGGCTATTTTATTAGATAAAATATAGTTCATGTTTTTCTGCAACACAAGGCCAAATATTCTTTATAAAGCAAATTGAAAGCTGCAGCAAAAAAATGTTACTATTGTGTTTTTTAAGAGATATTAGGAAAAAATAACTATTTTTCATCAAGGGCTATTCACATTAGCCTATTGTGGAAAAGACAGTTTCATACATTGGGATGTTGGTGGGCAGTTGAGTTTATGCCAATGAACTTGGCTATAAACTATTTTTGAATATCAATGGATTATTATATTGTCGGCAGTTTACCAAAGTATTCATCAAGGAACTTGTAACATTAGGTTATTATTTATGGATAACTAAAATGAGTTCATGCTAACAATGATTTCCTTTTATCATTTATTGGATAACTATTGGGTTCTTTATTGGGGTTTTTCATGCAAATATGTGTTACCATATGAAAAAATGTGTTCTTAGAACCTGGTCAAAAATACCAGGAGACTGTTGTACATGCCAAATATTCTTTATATCTTATGACAGTATGAATGCCTGATGAGATGTGATTAGGTTGAAAACATTGGCAATGTATTCTCTACCACATATAATATATACTGGTGTTACCGTACAAAAAGAAATAAAGCCAGTTGATAATTGTTTCATGTTTTTAATTGTCATTATTCATTTATTTTTTGTTCACAACATGGGAGCCAGGTGCTGGTGTTTCACTCCTGTAATCCTATCTATTCAGGAGGCTGAAGCTCTAAGGATGGAGGTTTGAAGCCAGCCAGGGTAAAAACATCTGAGAGAATCTTATCTCCAGCAAAAAGCTGGTAGTGGAGGTGTGGCTAGATAAGTTTGAAAAAAGCTAAGCCACTATGAGGCCCTGATTTCAAGCCCCAGTTCTGGCACAAAAATAATAGACTTGATTTTTGTTCTAGAAAATGATAATACCAACTCTTTGTAGTTGTAAAGTCCATGAATTAATTTGAGTTGGGTTCATAATGTATCAACAGAGAGAAAATTGAGGTCTTTATTGAGCTAACAAATGAGGTATTATGATAGAAGGGATGTAAGGAAATCAAATGACTGACGCACAAATTTGATGAGATGAGTTGTAGAAGCAGGCACAGGCTCTACCCTGCATGCTTTCTAGAAACAACAGCCCCGACCTGCTATTCTCCCTGAGTGCCAGAAGGGGAGAGACAATCGAAAATATTAAAAGTAGAGTGAAGCTGGGTACTTGTGGCTCACCCTTGTAATCCTAGCTAATCAGGGTCCTGGTTCAAAGCTAGCTGTGCAGAAAAGTCTGTGAGACTTTCATCTCCAGTTAATCAGGTTTGATTCAAGTAGAAGAACACTAGCCTAGAGTGAGAAGGCTGAGAGTTCAAGGCTTAGTATGTGCACATGTGCACATTACAGTGAGTAAGGCCTAGTGCTGAACAACAGATGTTTTTGTGAAATTTATTATGTAACTTAATAAACCAGCAGGAATCTGTATGACACACTCCCAATTCTCAAACAGAATACTCTCGTGTTTGTTTAGCCAAATGTCTATATGCTTAGCTCCACAGAGGGACCCAGGCACTTAGCCAACTGGGATCATATTTAATAGATGGGAGTTGGTAGTTCTTTTATTCTGTAAAAGAAGCAATTCTCCATGTGTGTGTCCTAGACATTTCAAAGTGGTGTTGATTGGGCCCCAAACCATGGGACAGAAAGCATCTCAGCCACTGGCCTTGAATGACAGCATTTGTGAGGGATCCAGTGAGGCCATCATCCATGCAGCTCAGAAACTGAAGGAATATCTGGGTGTCGAGTATCCCTTGTGCAGCCTATGCCCTGCTTTGAGTACACTCAATGAGATCTTCTTAATCTCCTTCATCACCTTCTGCCAAGAAAGGGGGCTTGGAGAGTGGGTCACCACCACCAAAATGACCAAGCACCAAGCCTTTCTGTTTGGGACAGACTGGATTTGGACCTTTTGGGGACCTGATAAACAAATAAAGCTTCAGATTGCAGTACAGACTCTACAAATGGCGTCCCTTCCTCCCATAGGACCGAAGCCTTGCAATTCCTTCAATCCAGATGCCCAAGTGCAAGAGTCTTGGAAGAAGAGCAGGTTTGACCAACTGGAAGAGTTTTGTGATCTGATTGGAGAGGATTGCCTGGGCCTGTTCATCATCTTTGGTACACCAGGAAAACCCAAAGACATCCGGGCAGTGGTCCTGGACAGTGTCAGGAACTGGACAGTAAAGAGTCAGCTGCCAGGAAGGAAGGTTGTAGAACATTTTGTCTTAGAAACCAATGACTGCCTCTCTATCAAAGAGCTTCTTGGAAACTGTCTGAGTAAGGAAAATGGGCTGAGAAAGGTGGGCAAGGTGTATATTAGCATCCTCTGAACTGGGTATGTGTGTTGGGTGTGGCTGGCCCTTTATTAAGGGGGAAAGGGCTTTTTATTCTTTTAAGCAAAAAGTCACCTGTTAAGTGAAGACAGCATGGGATTTTTTTCCTTCCTCAAATGATGTACCTAGGTGGAAACAGCCTCGTGTCACAATGATGGAGAGAAACAAAAGCTGGTTAATTGAATTTTAGGGAAAAAAGAAAGTTGAATCTGCATGCATTTGTTCAATAATAAGAATGGGAGACTGGGGAGGTGGGGAGGGAAGTGATAGGGCAAAAACAAAGGAGGGGGTAACAATGCTTGACAGGAAATGTACTCACTCATGTAACTAACCCCTCTGTACAGTATCTACAATAAAAATATTTTTTAAAAAAGAATGGGAGATATAGACTGTGATAGACAATTTGCTCCAGGAAAGTTAGAATGAACTTGTGACTTTAAATGAGCATCATTATTCCACAATACTGGGAAATTATGTAATCACTTAATCACAATTTAAAAAAAAAAAAGAAAAAAAACCTCGGGGAAGGTAGGGAGGGAAGGGATGGTAGGGGGAAAACAATGGAGGGGGTAACAATGCTCAATAGGAAGTGTACTCATTACCTTGCTCATGTAACTGTAACCTTCTGTATAGTATCTTTACAATAAAAAATTTTAAAAGAATGGGAGAGAATAATAAAATTTGATTTGCCACACGTATTTGTTGGAAATAGTCTAAAAGATGTAAAAAATATGGGAAGTGTAGCTGTGGCTCAAGTGGTAGAACACCAGCTTTGAATGAAAAAGTCAGGTACAGACCTGGAGAGACCCTGAGCTCAAGCCCCAGTACTGGTACACAAGAAAAAAAAAAGAAACATTATCATTGTTTTCTGTGTCCTGTTGAATGCTGATTTCTGAAATTCTAACCTGACATAACAAGCTGAGTCAATGATAGGATATGCACACAGGGAGCTCACTGTATGACTCAACTCGGTGTTGGTGGCTCAGGCCTGTAATCCTACCTACACAGGAAGCTGAGATCTGAGATTTCTGGTTCAATGCCAGCCCAGGCAGGAAAGTCCGAAAGACTCCATCTCCAACTGCAAACAAAACCCAGACTGGAAGTATGATTCAAATGGTAGAGCACCAGCAGTGAGCCACAAAGAGAAAGTGCAAAGCCCTGAATTCAAGTCATAAGATGGAAAAAATTACACATCCTAGAGAAGGTAAGATCAAACTTTAAACTCTAGTCTGGTTTAAGAAACCATCCGTTCTGTGTGTGTGTGACAGTTGTGGAGCTTGACCTCAGGGCCTGGGCTCTGTCCTGAGCCTTTGCACTCAAGGCTGGTGCTTTACCACTTGAGCCACACCTCCACTACAGGCCTTTTGGTGGTTCATTAGAGAAGAGTCTCTCCTGCCGGGCTGGCTTAGAACTGCGATCCTCAGATCTCAGCCCCCCGAGTAGTTGAGGTGACAGGCGTGAGCCGCCTTGGCGCCCGCGCACCCGGGCAATCTCCTGCCCTGGGCTATCTCAGGCCATCACCAGGCAGCAAAAGAGCAGCAGCCGCAGAGGATCTGTGGCCTGGGCCCGGAGATCATCCAACGCCAGCCTTGGAGCCACACCCCCAGTTCGTGCGGAAGTATTCGCAGGACTCTTTCTGATTCTTGGTTTGGTTTGGTTTGTTTTAGCCTTCTGGGGCCTATCTCCCTAAACTCCGAATACTCAAACCCAAGAACTCCGGGCGTTCACGCCCAAAGTAGAGGCCTGGGCCTCTCAGCCCCACCTCTCCACTCGGCCCCGCCCCTCGCCACGTCGGCCCGCCCCCACGCTACGCCGCCGGGCCCCGCCCCCTCGGCTCGCCACGCCGCCACGCCGGCCCCGTCCTCTGGCGCGCGCGGCGCCGTCCCCTCCGGCTTGCCATCCTAGGATCATGGCGGCCACCGCCTTTTCTCAGCGGCTGCGTCTGCAGCCGTTGGCCAGGACTCCGCGCGCCTTCTTCGCCGCAGGGAGCTCGGCCGCTTATGCTGCGGCACCGCGCGCGCGTGAGTGTCTGCCGCGGCCCCTGGGCTCCGGGGAGGTGAGAGCCGAATCCCGGCCGCCACGGGCCCGGGCGGCCGCGTCCCCCGCGTGCGTCCGCGCTCCCGGCCGGCGCTCAGCCTCCCGGGCCGGCGCCGCTGCCGGCGTCGTGCTCAGCTGGAGCTAGCAAGCGTCTCACGGACTTTCTGCCGGGCTGGCTTTGAACCTGGATCCGCAGATCCCAGCCTGCCGAGTCTCTAGGACGCCAGGCGTGAGCCACCGGCGCCCAGCTCTGAAAGCTTTCTATTTGGCCGGCGATCTAAGTCTCCTGACCTCGTTCTGACTCCAGTTTCATTACGATGCTTTCAGCTCTGAGCTGACGAGACTGTTGTTTAATGTCTACTTCCCTGAACATCGGAAGCCATATCAGGACTATGGGGTTATGTGGGGTACTGAACAAACCTGCCTTATAACTTTGTGCCAATGTTGTGCTGTCGTTTAGGTACCGCCGAAAGAGCACCCAGAAGTGACGGGCAGATGAGAAGAAAGGTAAATCATTCGCGTACTTTTCTAAATTGTCTTAATGGTGTCTGAAATGATTATTTTTTCTTTTCTTTTTTTTGTGGTGCTGAGGACCAAACTCAGGGTCTTGCACTGGCTAGGCAAGTGCTCTTCCACTGAGCTAAATCCCCAACCCAGCGTCCAAAATTATCGGGAACTGATGGAGATCAGGTCAAAAGGGCCAGACCCTGTAGTGTTGTCGTTGGACATGTGTGTATTTGTATGCTGGTTCTAGGGCTTGAATTTAGGGCCTAAGTGCTGGTCCTGAACTTTCTTTGCTCAAGGCTACTATTCGAGTCACATATCCACTACTGGCTTAGTTGAAGATAATTGGCTTTTTTGTTTGTATGTGTTGGGACTTGAACTCAGAACCTCGGTGCTATCCCTTAATTATTTTCTCTCAAGGCTGGCACTCTACCATTTAGGCCATACCTCTGTGTCTCACTTTTTGATGGTTAGAGGTAAGAGTCTATGGACTTTCCTATCCAGGATGGCTTCAAACCATGATCCTGAGAGACCTCAGCATCCTCAGTAACTAGGATTACCGGCATGAAGTCCCAGCTCCCAGCGTGGACTTGTTAAAAACAATACTGAGGGAATGGTTCACCTCTAAGAAGTAGATACTCCCAGGAAGCAGGTGTGAGGGCATAGAACTAGTTTTGGTAGTGGCATAGCACATATGCACATGTATGCGTTATTCTAACTCATCACACACCTGTGGGCATCTCTCCATCATTGGTTTGTCACGGAGGAATTAAAACAAAGCCACATTAATTAGAAATAAGGGCATAGAAGGAGTCTCTTGGATTTGTCTGCTCAGGCTGGCTTTGAACCTTGGTCCTCAGATCTCAGCCTCCTGAGTAGCCAGGGCTATAGGTATGGGCCACTGGTGCCTGGGTATCTCCTATTTAATACCAGGACCATGTATACAAACATATATACATGTGGATATATATTCTTTGATTTCCATCAAGCAATATATATATAAATTATTTCAGAATGTACTGTTAGCAAAAATGTAAGAGTTTTTAAAGTCAAAGCAGTTTTTAGTGAAGGAAATATTAATACCAGAAATGGATTTTTGCCAGGAATCATTGGCTCATGCTTGTAATTTTGGCCACTCAGGAGGCTGAAAACTGAAGATTGCAGTTCAAAGCCAGCCCAGGCAGAAAATGAGACTATCTCCAGTTAACCAGCAAAAAAGCTGGAACTAGAGGTATGGCTCAACTGTTCTCATATGGCATGATATTTGAGCAAAAATGCTAATGAACAGTGCCCAGGCCCTGAGCTCAAGCCCTAGTACCTGACACAAAGGTCCAAAAAAAAGTGGGGGAGGAAGGATGGGGTGGGAACGTGTTTGCCAAAAAGGACTGAAATAATGAAGTAATATTACAGAGATTTAGAACTTGTGTTTTTTGATTTTTGTTTTTTCATATGTACAGCAGCTGATTTGTTGGAAGTCAGATTTTATGTATTATACTCTTGCTTTATACTTCTTGTAATTGTATCTTTTGCTTTAAAGTTAAAGAATATAGCCCGGCACTGGTGGCTCATGCCTGTAATCCTAGCTACTCAGGAAGCTGAGATCTGAGGATCATGATTCACAGCCAGACTGGGCAGGATAGGACATGAGACTCTATCTCCAGAAAACTGGAAGTGGTGCTGTGGCTCAAGTGGTAGAGCGCTAGCCTTGAGCAAAAGAGCTCAGAGACAGCTCCCAAATCCTGAGTTTAAGCCCCATGATTGACCCAAAAAAAAAAAAAAAAAGTTACTATGTTTAACTTTGAAAATACTTGTGTATTTTGTATCTCAGGCCCTGCCTCCTAGGACGGAGAAGATGACAGTTGATCAGGACTGGCCTAGTGTTTACCCCGTGGCAGCGCCATTCAAACCCTCAGTGGTGCCTCTTCCTATTCGAATGGGTTATCCAGTAAAGAAGGGTGTGCCACTGGTAAAGGAGGGAAATGTAGAGCTCTTGAAGGTAAGGGAAATTGCTGGTTCATTGGCTAGGACTGATACCTGAGTGAATTCTGACCTTCCCTTCTTGTCTACCCTCCTATAGGTCAAGGCTCAGCACAGAGCAGCCTAACCACATTTTAATTACATTTTTTTCAGGTAATAAGAAATGCTGTGTTTTTATTTGTCATAGTGAGGAAGATTCAAAGTAGCTTAGAATTAAATTAATTAGATAAGCACTAGTGGCTCACTCCTGTAATCCTAGCTACTAAGGAGGCTGATGAGAGAGAGAGGAAAGACACAATAGGAGGAAGGGGTACTGTGCTCCTAGAGACAGAAATCAATGAAATTTGGAAATGAGAACATTTCATGAAACAACAGGCAATCAAATATTGAAGAAGACAATCTTTCCAAATGAATGCATAGCAGGTTTGTAGTGAGGTTAACAGTTGTGAGTGGGTGTTAAAATCTGTACATGTCCACCAGTAAGTATTGAGTACCTTCCATCCATTCCCAGTAAGTCATCAAATAAGCTTTATTAATGATCAATTATTAATCTCTACTGTCAAAACAATTGCATCGTGATTAACAAATAATGTCAGATATCAATCTTATTAAATGTCTATATTAATCACTAATGATATAAATAGCCTATTTGTTAATTGCTAATATTAATGATTAAGTTACTTTTTTAAAAGGATTGAATTTTCCTTTTTCTTGCCCTTCTGTGTGCCATCACAAATGTATCCCTAACATCATTCAATTACTCAGTTAAGATTTGCTAGCTTTTATTCATTTATCCAAGTCATAAAATGTTTATGGTTGAAGCTAGATGCTGGTGGCTCACACTTGTAATCCTAATTGCTCAGGAGGCTGAGATCTGAGGATCACGGTTCAAAGCCAGCCCGGGCAGGAAAGTCTATGAGACTCTTTATCTCCAGCAAACCATCAGGAAACTGGAAGTGACGCTGTGGCTCAAGTGGTAGAGAGCTCACCTTGAGCTGAAGAGCTGAGAGACAGTGCCAAGGCCCAGAGTTAAGGCTCCACGACTGAAAAAAAAAAAAAAAATACTTATGGTTGACAAAGTGGAAATGCCACTGTGTGAGACTTTGTAGACCTTTGGGACTATGTAACAATGATAAGCATCCTTTGTTGTTCTCAGTTTCCTGTGGGACTCTACATGGACACCTGGATGTTCATGGCCAAAAAATATAATCAAAACCAGGTTGGCATTTCCAGCATAAGTGTCACAAGATGCGTGGTAAAAAGTAAATGATATACACTGTATAAAGACACTGGAGAGTATGTTAGTACTGAATCTCTATTTTAAGAAATTTGATTCTTCAATTGACAACATATTGACATTGAACTAATATTGTAAAACTATTATCAGATTTTATTTGCTACATAAATAAAATCTGTGGGGCCTACAATTTCATTCTCTGAGAAAATTGTCTTTTTCATATTTTTAGGACACTTAGCTAGCCAAGTAAGGTGACCCATACCTGTAGTTCCGGCTATGGAAACTGAGGCAGAAGGATCAGCTGAGCTCATGAGTTTAAGATCACTTTTGACAGCATGTATCCTATTTCAGAAAGAAGAAGAGACATTTAGTGATGGTTTTTATGTCTTCTTCTATTTTAGATTCCCAACTTTCTCCATTTGACACCTGTAGCAATCAAGAAGCACTGTGACGCTCTTAAAGGCAAGTGACTTGTTATAAGTTATATAAACTTCATTGACATTGAGCGTAAAATTGAAGAGCTCTGGTTTGAAGAGATTCAGCCTTGTCTTCTAAAGCTTTGTCAATTTCTCCCTTTTTTTTTCAAAAGACTTTTAAGCTGTTCTCTCAGTGAATTGTTAGATCTTAAATCTGCACCAATTTGCTCACTATTCTATAAGGCATTATGAATATTAAAGTGAAGTCATAAGCCAACTGGCAATGGGTGCATGATTATAGTCCCAGGTTGCAGGAGGCTGAGGCAGGTGGCCTGGGAATTGAAGGCTAGCAGCCTCGGCCTCACAATGGAGACCTTGTCTCTGAAAACCAAAAAAAGGGTAAGTTAGGGACTTAATGTTGGGTTATTGAAAGTCATACATGAGCTAGGCACAAAGGCTCGCTCTATAATCTTAGCTATTCATCAGGATTATGGTCCAAGGACCACCTAGGCAAAAAGTTTGTGAGACCATATCTCAACAAACAAGCTTGGTATGCTGATGCTCACCTGCCATATTCTAGGCCAACTTGAACAGAAAATGAGATCCAGTTGGGAAAGTGAAAAGGCTGAGGGCATAGAGGAAAGGGTAGATCGCGGCCTATAAAGTGTAATGCCATAAATTCAAAACCCAGTACTGCCGGGAAATAAAAATACAAACGTGCATATGTGATGAGGCTGAAGGAAATACTGTGGTGGCGGCTCACATCTGTAATCCTAGATGCTGAGGAGGTAGAAAGCAGGAGAATTGCAGTTTGAGGCCTGTTTGGGTAAAAAGTTGGTGAGAACCCCATCTCAACTAGTGAAAAGCTAGGTATGGTGTTACACCTCTCCAGCTCTGCAGGAAGTATAAATAGTAGGATCACTGGCTAGGCCATCCCAGATGTAAATGCAAGACCCTGTTTTGGAAAAAATAAAGCATAAAAGATTGAAGGAGTGGCTCAAATGGTTGAGCCCTGGTTTCAAACCCTGGTACTGCCATACAAATAGTAAAAGAGTTTATGATGACAATCAAGTCACCTACTTCTCTTTTACCCCTAAGCTTCATCCTGAAATGCTATTAGTCTAATAGTTGTTTGTTTATGCTTACATTTCACATGTGTCTGTATATGAGTAACTAATAGAAGTAATCCACAGAGTGAGTGCACCTCCAGGTCATGATCTGATGTTTTTGAATAATGTTTGTTTATTTGTTTAGTTGGTTTTGTGTTGGTACTAGAGCTAGAGCTCAAGGTCTTGTGCTCTCATTTGGCTTTTTTGCTCATAGCTGTCATTCTGTCATTGGAGCCTTGCTTCCAATGCAGTTCTTTGCTGGTTAAAAGATGAAATCTGTTGTACTTAGCTCTCTGACCTGGCTTAGAACCACAATCTTCCAGATCCCAGACTTCCTGAGCAGCTAGGATTACATGTGTGAACTATTGGTGTTTGACTTGAACATATGTTGATCCCTAGGTGTAGATTTTTATGTATTTTGATGTAAGGGATACTAGACTGTGTGTGGGATAAACTTGTACCAGTTATTTCTGTGTCACAGCGGTAGTCATTGCTGCAGTTTAATTCAAGAGTTAGAACCTTTGAATAAAGTCTCATGGATTCATGCCGATTTAAAGGTATCATGAAATAGCACAATGAAACCCTTTTATACAAAATCAATTTGTGCTGATAAATTATCAAACTTAGCCTGGCCCCAGTCACTCATGCCTGTATTTCTGGCTTCTCATGAGTCTGAGACTGAGATGGCAGTTCAAGGTAAGCCTTGTGTTCTCCCTTGGCTTTTTTGCTCAAGGCTGGTGCTCTACCACTTGAGACACACTACCATGTTGAGCTTTTGCTGGTTAATTGGAAATAAGAATCTCACATTTATCCACCAGGGCAAGCCTTGGGCTAGCTTTGTGAACCATGATCTTGATCTAGGTTTACTGGTATGAGTCATTCACTGAAGCCCGGCTGTTCATTGTTTTAAATGTCAAAAGGTAGCCAAGCACTGGTGGCACACACCTGTAATCCTAACTATTCAGGAGGCTGAGATCTGAAGATCATAGTTCAGAACTGGCAAGGCAGGAAAGTCCTTATAAGACTGTCATCTCCAATTAGCCACCGAAAAACCAGAAATGCAGTTGTGTCTCAGAGTGGTAGAGTGCTAGCCTGAGTTCAAGCCCCAGGACTGGCCAAAAAAAAAAAAAAAAGCCAAAAAGTTCCTAATTCCAAAAATACTGCTTTTTCATTAAAGTAGCTAGTTATAGATCTTATAAATAGGATGGTTAGGGAGTGATATGGACTCAATTTCTGAGCATTGATTTTAGTTCTCAATATCAAGGGAGTCTTTGTAACCTACAATGATATGTTACTGACTCGTTTTATTTTTTTTTGTGCCAGTCCCAGAGCTTGAATTCAGGACCCAGACATTATCCCTGAGCTTTTTGCTCAAGGTTAGGGCTGAATCACTTGAGCCACAGCTCCACTTCTTTTTGTTGTTGTTGTTTTGTTTGAGTAGTTAATTGGAGATAAGAATCTCATGGACTTTTCTGCCCTGGCTGGCTTTGACCCATGATCCTCAGATGTCAGCCTCCTGAGTAGCTAGGATTCCAGGTATGAGCCACCATTGCCCCGCTCTGACCATGGTTTTAAAATAAAGCCTAAAGCTTGATTTTATATCAGCTAAATATCATCCCTGCTGTTAGAAAACTTTCACCTTAGGTAAAAGCACCTCTCACTGTCACTTTGGTGGTCACATCTGGCCGCCCCTCCTGCAGTGTGATTCATTACAGGAAGGGGTTCCACCAGGGCCAACCAGTTGCTTTAGCTCTTCTTAGAGTGTGGGGCTCGTTGAGGAAGGAAAGGGGATTCTGAGACTGTCAAAAGTTTGTCCCCAAACAGGGCTACAGAGGTAGCCACTAGCACTTCAGGGGTGCTGGAAGCTCCCACCCTTTCTTCCTGTGTACACACATGTGCACCCAAGTCAATGCCCACATGTGTTGCTGCTAGGGTTTAAACCCAGGGCTTAGAGCTCTTCCTTAGCTTTTCCATTTGAGGCTGGTGCTGTGCCATCAGAGCTCCACTAGAGTCTTAAATTGCTCTGCTTGGCTGGCTTCGAACCGCAGTCCTCAGCGGCCTCCTGAGTAGTTAGGATTACAGACCTGAGTCTCTAGCATCCAGCTTCCCCACCTTTTGTCTAATTTTGGTGTTGGGAGTTGAACCACCAAGCTCCAATCCAATGCCATTGTTCCTTTTAGCTGAATGTACTATTCCCCACTACATCTGAAATACTCAGAATCATTTTCTTAATAAAATTCTCTACTTAGAATGTAGTTAAGAAGAAAAGGGATGAGGGTTGTGATTATATATGTAAAATGCAAAAGAGATTCTGTGCTTTCATTTCCTGTGACCTGAGAGTAGGTTGCACTCATTTGACATTGTCAGGTAGCACGCATTACAACAAGAATTTACTTGCCAAGGGGCTAGGAAGGTGGCTCAGTGGTAGAGCGCTTGCCTTGCATGCATGAGGCCCTTGGCTCGATTCCTCAGCACCACATAAGCAAAAAGAAAAAAGCCGGAAGTGGCGCTGTGGCTCAAGTGGTAGAGTGCTAGCCTTGAGCTGAAGAGCTGAGGGACAGCGCCCAGGCCCAGAGTTCAGGCCCCACGACCGGACCCAAAAAAAAAAAAAAAAAAGAATTTACTTGCCAAATATAATTGATACCCTGTTAATATTCAGATTTCTGCACTGAGTGGCCAGCTGCACTAGACAGTGATGAGAAATGTGAGAAGCATTTTCCTATTGAAATTGACACTGCTGACTATGTGTCATCAGGACCATCCATCCGGAACCCCAAAGCCAGAGTAGTAACATTAAGGGTAAGAGGTGTGTGCATGGGGGTGGGGAGGGGCAGGGTTGGAACTGGGGCATGAACTCGGGACCCCGTGCTGTTTCTTAGGTTTTTCTTTGGTTGGGGTTTTTTTTGCTCAAGGATGCCCTACCACTGGATTTTTGCTGGTTAATTGGAGGTTAAGAGACTCTTAGATTTGTATGCCCAGCTGGCTTCCAAGTGTGATGTTCAGATCTCAGCTTCCTGTGTAGCTAGGATTACAAGTGTGAGACACCAGTGGCTGGTAAGAGGTTTTTTTTTTAAAGATAAGAATCACCAGTGCTGGTGGCTCATGCTTGCAATCCTAGCTACTCAGGAGGCTGAGATCTGAGGCTCAGGGTTCAAAGCCAGTTCCAGCAGAGAGACTCTTACCTCCAATAGACAAAGGCCAAAAGTGGCTCGATGGCTCAAGTAGTAAAGCACTGGCTTGAGAAAAAGCAGTTCAGCCACAGTGCACCCTAGGCCCTGAGTTCAGCCCCAGCACACACACACACAAAAGATAGATCATAGAAATATAAATTATGGATGATAGATTGATAGATGATAAATACCTATATAATATGCATAGAAATGTACATGTCTACATACATAGAGATGAATGTATTTCCTCACTTGCTCTCCCTACCCCCACCCCATTTCTCTCCTAAATTCATCTCAGGACCTTCTGCATGCGAGGCAAGTGCTCTGTCCCTTGAACTACATCCTCAACCTCAATACTTTGCTATTTAGAAATGAAATGAACATCCTCAGGATTAATATTTGTATATATTCCTAAAAATGAATGGAAAAATGCAGGTCAAAGGATGTAACTCTTGTAGTTTTTGATATATATCACAAATTTTCTGCAGGATTTTTTTTTTTAAGGCAGATTGCTATAAAGTCCTATTTTCCTATACATTCACAACTTTGATATACTGCCATTTGGTACACTAAATTTTTTATAATTGATAATCAGCATTTTGCAAAGGATTGAAACATGTGATTTATTACTAGTGAGGCCGAGAATCTGTTCTGTATCATTGCCTGCTATGATGGATCTCCTCTGCCTTGGGACTCACCCCTGTTTCCTGACAGTCCAGCCGCAGTGCAGTGTAGTGCTCCCTGTGGTGATAGCCACATGCTCAGGGGTAGTCATGAACATGGGTCCAGCATTGCAGCTCAGCATAATGAGGCAGTGTAGTGGTGAGGAGAAAATAGAATAAACATTATTGGGAGATACTTACCTGGTAGAAAACTTGGTTGTAATACTATTGTGCTTCACATCAGTCTACCATTGGGGGAAATTAAAAAAGAAAGTGGGCCCCTGACAAGCCATTTGAAAAGCAGTTAAAAAAAAAAAAAGACAGTAGAAATCAAGAGATGTACCCCAGGGCTTAGGGTTCACGCCTGTAGTCCTAGCTACTGAGGATGCTGGTTCAAAGCCCACTGGAACAGGAAAGTCCATGAGACTCAAAAAAAACAAATTAACAAGCAAAAAGCTTGAAGTAGAGCTGTGGCTCAAGTGGTAGAGCGTCTTTCTTAAGTGAAAAAGCTAAGGGAAAATGCAAGACCCTGAGTTCAAACCCCAGTACCTGCACACCAAAGGCAAAAAAAAAAAACAAGAGTTACTACTAGCAAAAAGTAATACTAGTGGGGAAAGCATTGGGAAGCACTTTGTTAGAATGGCAGAATCCAAATAAATGAAGAAAATGCATTTATTCTAACCTTTTAAAATTAAATTTTAATTCGTTTCTCATTATGAACATATATATATATATATACATATACATATATATATATATATATATGAGTACATATTACATCTTGTGCTGTATCCAAATGTGCGTAGAGTGCACCCCATCAGACTCCCACTCCACATCTCTCCCCCAACCCCTCATGGTGCTTCTTAAAACAATTTCAACAGGTTTTTGGTTTGGGTTTTTTGTTTTTTGGGGTTTTTTTTTTGTCATTTGTGGGTCTTGAACTCTGGGCCTGATGAGCTCTTCAGCTCATGCAAGTGCTCTACCACTTGAGTCACAGGGCCACATCGGGTTTTCTGGTGGTTTATTGGAGACAAGAGTCTCATGGACTTTCCGGCCTGGGCTGGCTTTGAACCATAATCCTCAGATTTCAGCCTCTTGATTAGCTAGGATTACAGACATCAGCCACTGGTGCTCAGCACAGGTTTCATTTTTTTTATTTTCTCTTTTTGTTGTTTGTTTTTGTGCTGGTGCTAGAGTTTGAACTTGGAGCCATTCTCTCTCACTTGGCCTCTTTTGCTTAATGCTAGTACTCTTCCACTAAAGCTCCACTTCCAGCTTTTGTTTATTAATTGGAGATAGGGATGGCACAGACTTTCGTGCCCAGCCTGGCTTCAAACATGATCATTAAACCTCAGCTGCCTGAGTAGCTAGGATTACAGGCGTGAGCCACAGGCACTTCCCTTTAAAAGTGCTGCCATTCTGATTTATTTCTGGCAAAAAGCCTGTGTATGAACTTACTCCGCGGAAACTGAGTCTTGCAGAGGCTTAACCCTGTTCGTGTCTTACATGGAATACCAGACTTGCACTAACTACATCCAGTTGGCATATGGATTTAAAAAAAAAAAAAAGTGCCACTATCATGTTACCTTCACTTGTAATTTGAAGCATTGCTGTTATTTGGGGGATATTATGGAAATAGCATAATATATATTCTTGAAAAATAACAACTTGGAAAAAAAAAAGTGTCTTGAGGGTTCTTCAGAATTTTGATGAAAGAAGGTGGCACAAAGCCTGTCTGTCAGGGGATCCCCAATTAAGGTTAGTTTTGTAGTACCCATGCATCCACCAGGGGGCAGACTGTGCCACAGTTTCTTGAACCATGGAGTTTCTTGCATAAACTAGTTTTTAATATCAAGGTGTTTATATGAATATGAATGTTAAACAGATATTACAATAAATACTAGCATTGCTACCACTTTTTTTTAATGTGTTGCTAAACGCTGGTGGCCTCATAATTATAATCCTAGCCACTGTGGAGGCTGAGATCTGAGGATCACAGTTCAAAGCCAGCTCAGATAAATCCATGACTAACCAACAAAAAGCCAGAACTAGAGCTGTCTGTCAAGTGGTAAAGCACCAACCTGGAGTGAAGTCCCACCTAGCACTGGCAAGAGAAAAAAAAAATCCAAATTTAGAATTGAGTGTGCTGGGGGCTGAGATAGGCCATTCTTGATCAGTCAGTTCCAGATCAGCCTGGCTACCTTGTCTCAGGACATGACTTTTTAAAAAAGAAAAAAAAGCCCCACGACCGATCAAAAAAAAAAAAAAGGAATAAAAGCTGGCACCGGTGGCTCACGCCTATAATCCTAGCTACTTAGGAAGCTGAGATCTGAGAATTGTGGTTCGAATCCAGCCCAGGCAGGAAAGTCTGTGAGACTCTTATCTCCAATTAATTACTAGAAAACTGGAAGTAGAAGAGCACTAGCCTTAAGCTGAAGAGCACAGGAGCAGCGCCCAGGCCGAGTTCAAGCCCCACGACCTAAAAAAAAAAGTTTTTTCTTTTGTTCCAGAAATTGAACCCAGGGCCTTATATGCTAAGAACACCCTCTACCCAGTCTTTAAAAAATTCTTTTTTTTTTTTTTTGGGGGGGGGTCCGGTCGTGGGGCCTGAACTCTGGGCCTGGGCACTGTCCCTCAGCTCTTCAGCTCAAGGCTAGCGCTCTACCACTGGAGCCACAGCACCACTTCTGGCTTTTTTCTTTTTGCTTATGTGGTGCTGAAGAATCGAACCCAGGGCCTCGAGCATGCAAGGCAAAGTGCTCTACCACTGAGCCACCTTCCCAGCCCCTCTTTAAAAAATTCTTAAGTCTGAGATTAGTTTTAACTTTTGAAAAATGTTGAGCTGAATTATTTTTAAATGTTTTGATCCTTCCTTTATATAATATTCCAACCTTCAAGAGATATCTGTATGTTTTAAAAGTAAATGTCCCAGCTAGGTATGATGGCACACACCTATAATCCCCACACTCAGAAGATTGAGGGGAGAGAATCACATGTTCAAGGCCAGCATGGGTACATGGTAAGGCCTTCTCAGCAAATGTCCCCTAACTGTTGGCAGTGATGTATATTTCAGAATTGCACAGAAGAGGATTTCCCTTGGGGTATTGTGCATTACATAAACTCAGGACCTCAGGTATTCTACCTGCTTGCGTCCTGAGCCATATAGCCAGTCCTTTTTTTTTTTTTCATTTACTAGTATTGGAAGGTGAACTCAGGGCTGTGTGCCTTTACTTGTCTTTTTGATCAAGGCTGGCACTTGACTCCTTGAACCATGCCTCTACTTTGGGCTTTTTGCTGATCCATTGGAGATAAGAGCCATAGATTTGTCTGCCTTGCCTGGCTTCCAAGTGCAATCCTTAAATAGGATTTACAAGCATGCTACCAGGGCCCTGTTCCTCTTGATTTTAATTTGTTTTTCAGGTAGGGTCTCACACCAACTTTGTCCTGGCTAGCTTCCAACCAGGATCTTCCTGTCTGACTCCTGAGTAATTGGAATTATAGATGTGTACCAGCACGCCCAGTCTTAAAGCAATTATGTTTTATCCACTTATTTCTATAATCCACCTTTGTTAGTTAAACTCTATTGGTGCATCTCAGATGTCCTTGAGTTTACTTACTTTAGAGGATTACCAGTTCTTGCAGGAAAGATACTAAGTTTACTTCTAATGTTTTTTGGTTTTTGTTCCCCTTTTCTGTTAGGAAAATCAGCTTCATAATGTATTCAAACCAATAACTGTATAGAGAAGGGTTTGGAGAGGTTTGTTGTTTGTTGTTTTTTTTTTTTTAGTGGATTTAATATTAATACAAGCAAGTAATATAATACTGCTACTTGTTTTCATTACATGAAATTACTGTTTCAGTAATTGTTTTTCCTGTTTTGTTTTAAGGTTAAACTTTCCAGTTTGAATTTAGATGACCACGCAAAGAAGAAACTTACTAAACTTGTAGGAAACCAATATTGCAAGACCACGGATATACTTACTATCAAAACAGATAGGTAAGAAAAGAAGAAGTAGGGCAGTGGCTCAAATGGTAGAGTGCCGGCCTTGAGTGAGAAAGCTAAGGGAGAGCACCTAGGGCCTGAGTTCAAGCCCCAGTTTAAGCACACACAACAATAATAATAACACCCAGACTTTTTTTTTTTTTTGTCGGTCGTGGCGCTTGAACTCTGGGCCTGGGCGCTGTCCTTCAGCTCTTCAGCTCAAGGCGAGCACTCTACCACTTGAGCTACAGCGCCACTTCTGGTTTTCTGGTGGTTTATTGGAGATAGGAGTCTCACAGTCTTTCCTGCCCGGGCTGGCTTTGAACCGCGATCCTCAGATCTCAGCCTCCTGAGTAGCTAGGATTACAGGCGTGAGCCACCAGTGCCCAGCAACACCAGACTTTTTAAATCCTCAGTTAATGAGCTACCCAGACTATTCTAAAAACAGCATTTTAGTAGATGACCCCTTTGACAAATGTGCTTAGATACTGAGTTTCTAGAATTTGACTCTTTTCCTTTTTTTAAAGGTGCCCTTTAAAGAGACAGAACTATGATTATGCGATGTACCTGCTGACAGTTTTATACCATGAGTCTTGGGTAAGTGTATGTGTACATTTAATGATTTTTGTACGTATAATTTAGATCACGTTAAGGTCTCAGGTAAGCCAGGTGCCGGTAGGTCATGCCTGTTATCCTTGCTACTTAGGAAGCTGAGATCTGAGGATCATGGTTCAAAGCCAACCTAGTCAGGAAAGTCTGTGTGAGACTCTTATCTCTAATTAACTACCAGAAAACCAGAAGTGGCGCTGTGGCTCAAAGTGGTACACTACTAGTCTTGAGTGTGAAAGCTCAGGGACAGCACCCAGGCCCTGAGTTCAAGCCCCAATGACCATCAAAAAGAACAAAAAGGTCTCATGTAAGTACTCAGTTGGGTATTTTGTAACCACTAAGAACGCATGAAATGTCCTACAGAGCTTCTGGCGCCAAAAGCAGGCATCTTGAGTTAGATTATTCACTCACTCACAGGACTGGACTGCCATATGCCTAAAGACCCTTAAATGATGTTTCTCACTTTTCTTGGAAAACGTGTAAGTTTTTATTTGATTAAAAAATTATTTTAGGGCTGGGAAGGTGGCTCAGTAATAGAACGTTTGCCTTGCATGCCTGAGGCCCTGGGTTCGATTCCTCAGCACCACATAAGCAAAAAGAAAAAACTGGAAGTGGCACTGTGGCTCAAGTGGTAGAGCGCTAGCCTTGAGCTGAAGAGCTGAGGGATAGTGCCCAGGCTCAGTTCAGGCCCCACGACCAGACCCAAAAATAAATAAATAAATAAATAAATAATTTTAGGTTGGAAATGTGGCTTAGTTGGTAGAGTGCTTGCCTAGCATGCATGAAGCCCTGGGTTCAGTTCCTCAGTACCACATAATCAGAAAGGCCGGAAGTAGTCTGTGGCTCAAGTGGTAGCCTTGAGCAAAACAAAACCCAGGGACAATGCCCAGGACCTGAGTTCAAGTCTCAGGTCTGGCAAAAATAAATAAATAAATAAAATTTTAAAAAATTAAGGTGAAGGTTCTGCTAGAGAGTGCATGATTTTTCATGTTACATACATGTTACATACATGTTAAAATTTTTGGTTAGAATGTAACATTGACTTACATATTAGCATCAGTTAAGGTCAGTTCGGTGTTCAGGTAGTTAGAGTAGTCCTGTGTGTGAACAAAACAAGTTAGTGCAGTGCATACATACACTCACAGGTCATTTCCACAGTAGCACCAGCCTCAGAATCATCATTCAAAGCCAACCTGGACAGGAAAGTCTGAGAGTCTTAGCTCCAAATAACTACAAAAGGCTGGTACTAGAGTTGTGGCTCAAGTGGTAGAATGCTAGTCTTAAACACAAAAGCGCAGGGACAGTGCCCAGGCCATGAATTTAAGCCCCAGGACTAGTGCACACATGTACACACAGACTCGAGATAGAAAAAAATGTATAATTCTCTGAAATTTTCATTCTGAACATGCCATCCTTTTTTTTTTTTTTTTTTTAATTTGTTTGATTCTCCAGCACCACATAAGCAAAAAGATAAAAAGCCAGAAATGGTGCTGTGGCTCAAGTGGTAGAGCGCTAGCCTTGAACTGAAAAGCTGAGGAGCAGCGCCCAGGCCCAGAGTTCAGGCCCCACAACCGGACCAAAAAAAAAAAAAAAGCCAACTCGGGCAGAAAAGTCCGTGAGACTCTTCTCTCCAATTAACCACTAGAAAACCGGAAGTGGTGCTGTGGCTCAAGCGGTAGAGCGCTCGCTTTGAGCTGAAGAGCGCAGGAATAGCGCCCAAGCCCAGAGTTCAAGCCCCTTGACCAACCAAAAAAGAAAAAAAAGCCTCAGGGCTGTGCTCTTTTCCTTAGCTTTTTTCTCAAAGTTGGAGCTTTACCACTTGAGCTGTACCTCTACATCCAGCTCTTTGCTGATTAATTGTAGATAAGAGTTTCTTGGACACATCTGTCAGGCTGGCTTTGTACCAGAATCCTCAGCTCTCAGCCTCCTGTAGTCCTCAGCTAGGATTACATGTGTGAGACACAGTGCCTGGCCTCAAAGTTTTAAACATTAATTTTTTAATTTTAAGTAAATATTAATATTACTTAAAAATTAGTTTGCATTCCAAATACCTAGGCACTGAGTAGCATTTTATATTAGGAACATTTTAATAGAGTTAGAGAGATTCTCTTCGATGTATAGAGAACTTAGATTTAGATAGAGAAGTTGAGACAGGGTCTTTCTATGTAACTAGCCTAGACCGGCCCTGACTCAGGATCCTCCTGCCTCAGCCTCCTAATTGCTGAGTTTCTGTGTGTGTGTGCCACCACATGGGCTTTCGATTTGTCTTTTTGTGAATCTTAGAGCTACAACAATGTGGAAGTGGTAGTGAGACAAAGATGCAATGGACTACTATATAGTTGTAAGAATGTTCCATGTCAGCCTGGTGCGGGTGCTCTGGCCTGTAATCCTCACTACTTAGGAAGCTGAGATCTAGAGGATCATGGGTCAAGTCAACCCAAGTAGAAAACTCTGTAAGACTCCCATTTCTGAAATAACCCACAGAAAGCCAGGCTGGAGGTGTGGCTCAAATAGTAGAGCACCAGCTGAGCAAACCAATCTGAGCTGCCACAGGCTCTAAGTTCAAATCCTAGTATTGGCATTTACATGTGCATGCACGGGCACATGCAACTATTAGCCATTTAGTGAAGAAACTAATTCCTAGGATTCAAGCCTGAGGTCTTTTGATAGAGCTGTTCTTCAGACTGCTCAAGGCATCTTCATTGGTGTTAAACAAAGCCATTTAACACAAAGGCAGTAGCAAGTGGAGAAGGAAAAGTTTTATTTCAAATTATTTAAGAGCGAAGAAAGAGGTGACATTGTCCAAAAAGATATGTGCTGTTTACCTGACTTATGTAACTCTAAGTCTTCTATACCTCACACTTATAATAATAAAAGAAAATGTTTTTTTAATATTAGAACAAAAAGTAGCTGGGCATCAGTGGCTCACACCTATAATCCTAGCTATTTGTGGCCCTCTGGGTCACAGTTTGAAGCCAGCTTGGGCAAGAATTTTCCAATTAACTGGGAAAAAAGCTAAGGAAGTAGAGCTGTGGCCCGAGTGGTAGAGCACCTAGCCTTGAGTGAGCTAGCTAAGCACCTAAGAAAAACATACAGGGGGCTTGGATGGTGGCTCAGTGGTAGAGCGCTTGCCTTACATGCCTGAGGCCCTGGGTTCGATTCCTCAGCACCACATAAGCAGAAAAAAAAAGCCAGAAGTGGTGCTGTGGCTCAAGTGGTAGAATGTTAGCCTTGAGCTAAAGAGCTGAGGGACAGCGCCCAGGCCCAGAGTTCAGGCCCCACGACCGGACCCAAAAAAAAAAAAAGAAAGAAAAACATACAGACAGCAGGACTTGCTTTTGTGGGGGAAGGGGTGGGGGTGATGGGGGGGGCAGTATTCTCTTTCCTCTCTTTCCCCTGGCTTCAGGCAGTCACTCTCCCTTTGAACCAGCAGCGTGGTTGCATTAGCTATAGCTCCATAGCTGCTGTTTCTGAGAGTTAATCACAAGCAATCAAACCAGCCAGTTTCCATTCTTGCCGTGCAGCCTGTAAAATGCATCCCTCCCCCTACAAAAGGAAATGGCAGCCATAAATGAACTCAGTGAAAGTTGACTGACTGGGTGGTTCTTGGGAAATCTGTGACTTAGGACCCAACCAGCCCTTATTCTAGATTCATGCATGAAATCTACTGTGCTAATGACTTGAGGCGAGAACAAGGAGCCCCATACCACTGTCCCAGATACACATAATTAAAGAATTCCTACATTAAGAGCAACTCGTAGGCCTTTCTAAACAAGCACCATCAGGGAAGAAGCTTTAAAAGAATGCAGATCAGCCATGAAGGTTTGCAGAACAGAATTTTTATTGAATCAGAATTCTTTTTTCCTTCACCAGCAGGGAATTCAAGCTTGATACTGGTGTTACACTTGGCATCCAATCCTGTATTTATAGAGAGCCTGTTTAATACATCGTTGCATTATTATTTTTTATATGCTAGCCTCCGAGCATTTAATCCTCAAATATTTGTGTCCCTTGGCTTCTTCATTGTTCCATGGTCGCTTCTAAGTAGCATTGGGAGGAAAGTAGTTGGGACTCAGCTGAAAAAGCATTCATGGAAGCTCCTGTACAGGAATGTTACTGCTGTAAAATCTTCAAGACTCTATAGCATCAAAGCTGACTCAAGTGGGCAAATCTTTCACAAAGCACAGGCTTCTGCTGGAGGGGCCCAGCGATGCCTCAACCCCGTTATGTCAGCACTGAGAGGGCACTAAAAGACACTTATTCTCAGAAGTCTAAGGAAACAGACGCTAAGCTGGATGCTTGTGGCTTATCCCTGCCATCCTAGCTACTCAGAAGGCTGAGATTTGAGGATTGTGGTTCAAAGTCAGTCTGGACAGGAAAGTCCATGATACTTATATTTTCAGTTTACCAGCACAAACTTGGACATGTAGCTATATCTAAAGTGGTAAAGCACTTGCCTTTAGCAAAAGAAGCTCAAGAACAGTGCCCAGATCCTGAGTTGAAGCCCCAGGACTGAGTACATACACACAAAAAAAGATACTTACGGTCAGTTATTTCTTAGTTACAAAGGTTGAGACCTAACACGAAAAACAATCCCCAATTGAGGAACATGACAGAGGAACCCAGCAGCTCCTAGACTGTTACACTTTCTCACATATTAGCATTCAGAAAAACTGTCTAAATTAATGCCAGGCACTGGTGACTCTTGCCTATAAACCTAGCTACTTAGGAAGCTGAGATCTGAGGATCTCAGTTCAAAGCTACCCTGAGCAGATGAACTCTAGACTCTTAAAGCATTGTACTGTAGATGCAGGAAAACTGTTTAATCAAAAAAAAAAAATTCTAGGGGCTGAGAATGTGGCTTAGTGGTAGAGTACTTGCCTAGCATACATGAAGCCCTGGGTTCGATTCCTCAGTTCCATAAACACAGAAAAAGCCGGAAGTGGCACTGTGGCTCAAGTGGTAGTGTTAGCCTTGAGCACAAGGAGCTCAGGGACAGTTCCCTGGGCCCTGAGTTCGAGCCCCAGGACGGGCAAAAAACAAAAAACTCCAAGCTGTGTGCCAGTGGCTCATTCCTGCCTATAATCTTAGCTACTCAGGAGGCTTTGCATTCTTTCTGGAAGAAAGCCAAACAACAGCACGAGGACCTGATTTCAATCACACACACACACACACACACACACACACACGCACGCACGCATGCACATACACACATCTAAATCGAATTGAATTTCTTGGCATACTAGGTTAGAATTTAGCATTGCAATAACTTTTGCTTTTAATCCACTATAAATATTTTTCTCTACCTGTGTTTTCTGATTTGCATGTCTTTTGAGTGTGTGTGTGTGTGTGTGTGTGTGTGTGTCTACATACACTGGGGTTGAAATTAGGTCCTCGTGAACTTGTTTTTTCCCCTCAAGGTTGGTTGGTGCTCTACCACTTGAGTCACACCTCTCCTTCTGGCTTTGTGCTAGTTAATTGGAGATATGAATCTCCAGCCAGCTCAGGCTGGCTTCAAACCATGATCTCTTCATCTCAGTTTCTTGAGTAGCTAAGATTACGGGTGTGAGCCACTGGCACCCAGCTTAGAATTTTTTTTTGGGGGGGGGGGGTCGGGGCGGGTCCAGTCATGAGGCCTGAACTCTGGGCCTGGGCACTGTCCCTCAACTCTTCAGCTCACGCTCTACCACTTGAGCCACAGCACCACTTCCAGCTTTTTTTTTTTTTCCTGCTTATGTGGTGCTAAGAAATCGAACCCAGGGCCTCATGCATGCAAGGCAAGCGCTCTACCACTGAGCCACCTTCCCAGCCCCTAGAATTTTTTTTAATGGCTTAACAGTTTTCCTCATGGCACAGTGCCTTGTTTGTAGTCATGAATAGTGGATCATGATTCATGTCTTTACCAAATGGAGTAGTACATGAGATCTTAGTATGTTACTTTGTTATTACAGAATGTGCTGACTTTATCACTTAAGTTAGTCAGCAGAAAGCCAGAAATGGAGCTGTGGTTCAGCTGGTATAGCCCAGCCTTGAGGGAAAAAGCTTAGCAAGAATGGGAGGCCTTAGTAAGTACTGGTAGCTCCCTCCTACTCAGGAGGCTGAAATCTGAGTATCATGATTCAAAGTCAACCCAGGCAGGAAAATCTGTGAGGCTCTTATCTCCAATTGCAGAAAACCAGAAGTAGTGCTGTGGCCCCAAGTGATATAGGACTAGCCTTTAGCAAAGGAGCTCAGGGACCAGCACTCAGGCCCTGAGTTCAAGCCCCATGACTGACAAAAATAAATAAATAAGAAGAAGAAGAATGTGAGGTCTTGAGTTCAAATTCTACTACCAGCACAAAACCTGATACCTAAAATACCACTTGACAATTAACTGTGTCTCTCTCACCATGGCTATTAATAAATCTCAAGTGCAGATGCTTAAAAAAAAAAAAAAAAACATTCCTACCAGACAAAGAAAGGACATAGGATTGGTTCACCTGGACATGTTCTGGACAGCCTGGGTGCAGTCCCTCACTCTCCCACTCAAGACTAGCACTCTATCACTTGAGACACAGTGCCACTTCTGGCTTTTTCTGTTTATGTGGTTTTAAGGAATCGAACCCAGGGCCTCATACATGCGAGGCAAACACTCTACCACTGAGCCACCTCCCCAGACCTGGACATGTTTTTGGGGTTTTTTTGGTTGGTTGTAGGGCTTGAACTCTGCGCCTGGGCGCTGCCCCCTTAGCTCTTCTGTTCAAGGCAAGCGCTCTACCACTTGAGCCACTTCTGGTTTTCTAGTGGTTTATTGAAGATAAGAGTCTCATGGACTTTCCTGCCCAGGCTGGCTTTGAACCATGTTCCTCAGATCTCAGCCTCCTGAGATCTAGGATTACTGTGAGCCACTGGCGCCCGGCTCATGTTATTTCTTAAACATAAGCTAGGCTATTATCCCTAATTATAAATTCAGTTTGAGGGACAACATGGCTCAGGAGCAAGAGAACAGACTCCACTTGGGTTCAGGAATTTAGGAGTCAGAGTAGAGACCCTCCAGCTATCCTGTGTCTTTACTGATTTCTCTAAAGGGCAAATACTGAGTCTGAGGACTCCAGGGGATTTCTTCTGACCATTTCTGCGTCCTACTGATTAGATCCTCTGCCTCTGACTGGACCCACTGTCCCCGTGGTTCTTTCTGGATGTTTGGGTGGAGGCCTGGGCTCAGGACTTAGGGTGCTTTTGCCCCTTTGCTCGTACTCTACCAACTGACTCATGCCTCCAAACCCTGTCTTTGAGGATATTTGTTTTTGTTTTTGTTCGTTTCAGTAGTACTGGAGATCCAGTTCAGGTCCTGGCTTTGCTAAGCACTCTTCCCCTTGGCTTTTGTTTTTTTCTTCGTTCATGGGCTCCTGTAAAAGGGGGACTAAGGCTGGGAATTTGGCTCAGTGGTAGAGTGCCTGCCTAGCATGCATGAAGCCCTGGGTTCGATTCCTCAGTACCACATACACAGAAAAAAGCCTGAAGGGGAGCTGTGGCTCAAGTGGTAGAGCACTAGCCTTGAGCCAAAGAAGCTCATATACAGTTCCCAGGCCCTGAGTTCAAACCCCATGACTGGCAAAAAAAAAAAAAAAATGGGGCGGGGGGGGGGGGGGGAAGCTGGGAGTGAGCAGGATCTTCGAAGAACCTGAGCCTTATACTCCTGGGGCTCCTTCAATGGGATTCTTTTTAAGAGATAATACAGTATTTCTTGCTTTGCTTTTGTATTTTGTTTCTAAAGTAAGGCCTAACTTTTCCTGAGCTGCATAATCCCCATGTCTCCACCCTCCTGAGTTGCTGGGATTATGAGCATGCACCACTATGCCCAGTTATGGATATACCACTCATAATACCTTCAAGAATCCTTACTCAGGCTAGGGGAGGATTCTTCACCACATCATAGCTCTGGAGATGATGTTAACATGAAAAGAATGTGCCTGTTCTTCAGCACGCCTTGACTAGAGCATACTGGCTGTGTTGCTGATGTTCTCAGAATGTTACAGCTCCAGTTCAGTCACCAACCTGAATAATATGCCGTATGCCCTAGAACAGCATGATATTTTTTTTAAATCAAGACTAAACAAGACATTCTTTGTCCTGTGGAAACAGAAAATAAAGAGTATAATAAAACAAAATTCAGGAAGGCAGGAGGTCATTATAACAAAAGCCACCTATTGTGTACAAATGTGTACATGTACTTGATACTTTAATTTCATTAAACTTAATTGTAGCCAAGTGTGGTGGCTCACACTTGTAATTCTAGCAACTCAAGAAGTTGAGATCTAACAATCTGGGTTTGAAGCCAGCCCAGGCAGAAAGACTCTTAGCTGAAATTGGCCACCAAAAATCTAGAAGTAGAGGTATGGCTCAAATGGTAGGGTGCCAGCCTTTAGTTAGCCAGGCACCAGAAGCTCACTCTTGTAATTCTCGTAGCTCAGCTAGCTGAGAACTGAGTGTTAGCATTTATATACAGCTCAGGCAGACAAATATGAGAGATACCGCATAGCTCCAGTTAACTAGCAAAAAGCCAAAAGTGGAACTGTGGCTCAAGTGATAAAGCACCAACCTTGAGCAAAGAAGCTAAGGCCCTGAGTTCGAGCTCCAGTTCAGGCAGATAAACAATAACAACAAATAGCCCATAGCTACAGATACTATTTCTCAGAATTCAGAAGCATTCCCCCCTCCCCCTTTTTTTTTCTTTCTTTCAGAAAACTGAAGAATGGGAAAAAAATAAGACAGAAGCAGACATGGATGAGTATATATGGAAAAATAGCTCTTCGGAAAGAAATGTCCTGGAGACACTGCAACAAATTAGAGCTGCAGAGAAGGACGGGGAAGTGACAAGGGAAGAGCTGCTTGGCACCAAGGAAGTCGAAGAGTACATGAAGTGTGTCGTGAGCCTGAAGAATGACGGGGAGAATGAAGCAATCCTTTCCCAGTACAAAGAATCAGTGAAGAGACTATTAAATTTGACATGAAGAATGAAGTCGAAAATAGGCTTTGATTTATACATTTTAGGACCCAGGTAATCAGTATATAATGAAAAGATTTAAAAATCACAGTTTCATAAATCCCATCCAGCCAGGTACTGGTGCTCGCACCTATAATCCTTGCTACTCAAGAGGCTGAAATCTAAAGGATCGTGGTTCAGAGACAGCCCAGGCAGCAAAGTCTGTGAGAATCTTTATTTCTAATTAACTAGCAAAAGCCAGAAGTGGCACTGTGGTTCAAGTGGTAGAATGCCAGCGTTGAGTGAAAAAGTTCAGAAATTGCTACCAGGCCTTGAGTTCAAGCCCCAATATTTGCACAAAAATAAAATCCCTTTCATGTTTATGTACAATGACAACAATTATTTCAAAGTTTTCTACTCTACATTGGAATGATTCAAATAATGAGAGGGTCACTTTGATTTCTCTGGCTCTGAAGTGTTTTGATTTTTTTTCTGTGGGATGAATTTAATGTATATTTTTGTCACTGCCATGTTTTTATCCTCATATATTGGTATTGCTTTTTTTTTTGTGAACATACTGTACAGAGGGGTTACAATTACATGGGCAGGATAATGCGTACATTTCTTATCAAGCATTGCAGCCTCCTCCTTTGTTTACCCTTCACATCCCTTCCCAGCCTCCCCCCTGGTATTGCTTTTTTTGCTAGCACTAGCCTTGAGCAGAAAAAGCTCTGAGACAGTGCCCAGGCCCTGAGTTCAAGCCCTAATTCAAGTATGAAAAGACAAATGAGGAATTTAAAGTTGGGCATAATACACACACCGGTAATCCTTGTTTTACAGGAAGCATAAAGAGGAGGATCATAGGCCAGGCCAGCCTAGACAAATGTGAGACCTTATGTGAAAAACAACTAAAACAAAAAAGAACTGGGGGAATGGCTCAAGGGCTGGATCACAACACAGCAAGTGCAAGGTTCTAAGTTCAAATCCTAGTACCGCCAAGTAAAAGAGAAAGAAATTTTGATTTCGTTTGCTAAAATATTTGTATATCTGGGAAGTGGTAGCTCATACCTGTAACTTGGGAGGCTAATATCCTAGGATCAAGGTTCAAAGTCTGTGATCAGACTTGTAAATAGGCAGTAGTGGAAAAGGGATGGAAATGAGAGCAGAAATGCCACATGAGAGAAGGCCCAGAGCTCAAGCCTTGTTGCCAGCATGCGCACACACATACACACACATCAGCCAGGTATGATAGATACTTGTAACCCAGCATTAAGGAGGCCAAGACAGAAGGATCTGGGGTTTGAGGCCAGCCTGGATTATATTACAAGATCTGTCCGCATATTTAAAGAAAACCCACAGAGGTGGTGGGAGGAGCATTTGGGGACACAGACACTGGGGTGATCCTGAGGAGCAGGTTGGAGTGACTGCCATCGCAGTAGTACAGAAGAGAGCAAGCAGCAGTGACATAGTAGAGTGTGGACCCCGGGCATGGTAGTTCAGTAATTCCAGATCATGGGGAGGGATACGGGCAAAAGTAACGTGAGGTCCTGAGTTCGAGCCCTGGTATTGGCATACACACACAAATAATTGATAACTGTAATTTTAGCAACAATTAAGCAGCAGTCATTAATTACATCCTTTCCTTTTAAAATTTGCTAGTTGATACAATATATACAATGAGTATTACCATATTTATCCTGATAAATTAAAATTCTAAAAGGTGCAAGCCGTATTAGTAAGTGTGTGTGTGTGCTGTTCCCCAAACTTGAACTTAGGGCCTCCCACTCTCACTGGGTTTCTTTGCCCAGGGCTGTCACTTTACCAGTTGAGCTACAGCCCCACTTCTGGTTAATTGGAGATAAGAGTCTCATGGATTTTTCTGCCTAGGCTGGCATTGAACCTCAACCCTCAGAACTCAGCCTCCTGAGGAACTAGGATTACAGGCATGAGCCACTAGTGCCTGGCTTATTGCAATCATTTCTCAAACTGAGTAGTGAGGCTCAGAAGTTTAAAGTTTAAGCATGTGACAAACTGCCCAAACCTGTGTTTGTGAGTTGCTTCAGTCTTCAACCACTTTTGTTTTTTGTGTATCACAATATTGGAGATGAGACTTTTTATTAAAAAGTATGACCTGTAGTGTCAGGGATTTTATGGTTCCTAACTGGGTCCTGAGTTGTTTTTTTGTTTGTTTGTTTGTTTGTTTGTTTTGGTCCGGTTGTGGGGCCTGAACTCTGGGCCTGAGCACTGTCCCTCAGCTCTTCAGCTCAAGGCTAGTGCCCTACCACTTGAGCCACAGCACCACTTCCGGCTTTTTTCTTTTTGCTTATGTGGTGCTGAGGAATCGAACCCAGGGCCTCATGCATGCAAGGCAAGCACTCTACCACTGAGCCAACTTCCCAGCCCCCTGAGTTGTTTTTTGTTTGTGTATGTGTGTTTGTGCTGGTCCAGGGACTTGAACTCAGAGCCTGGGCATTGTCCCAGGGTTTATTTGCTCAAATCTAGAGCTTTACAGCTTGAGCCACAGCTCTGCTTCCAGCTTTTTGGTGGCTAATTGGAAAGAGTCTCATAGTCTTGCTCAGACAGGCTTTGAACCCTGATCCTTAGTTCTCAGCTGCCTGAGTTGCTAGGATTAAGGGTGTGAGCCAGCTGAGTTATATTCAATTCTTTTTGGTCCCTCATCCAGTGAGGGTATGGTTTCTAGCCCACTTAGTTTTCCTTCTTCACCTGGGTTGCCTCTCCAGGCCAAGGTCATCAGAAAGACAAAAGCAGAGGCTGAGGAAGAGATGGAATGTGTTGTCTTGATCAGTAAGTGTGTTTCTCCATCTTCAAGGAAGTAGTAAAATTCTAAACCTTGTGGAAGATTTCCTCTCTAGTAGCTCTAGCTTATTAGAAAACATCTAAGCCATTCATGCATATTTAAAAGTGAGATTTTTAGCAAGGAGCTTGGTGGCTCACACCTGTAATCCTAGCTGCAGAGACTGAGATCTGAGGATCATGGTTTGAAGACAGCCCAGGTAGGAAAGTCCATGAGACCATGTCCAATTAATCACCAAAAAGCTAGAAGTGGAGCACCAGCCTTGAGCACAAAAGATTAAGGACAGTGCTTAGGCCTCTAGTTCAAGCCTCAGTAGTGGCACACATACAAACATACACAAGCCACAAATCTAATTTTATGCTAATTTAAATCTTAATGCCCTTCCCACTAATGTTTTTTTCCTCTGATGTATTTAAAAATAGACTGATAAAAATCTATGATTCTTTTTTGTTTGGGGGGTTTTTATCGGACATGGGGCTTGAACTCGCCATGGGCGCTGTCCCTGCTCTCTTCAGCTCAAGGCAAGTGCTCTACCACTTGAGCCACAGTGTCACTTCTGGTTTTCTAGTGGTTTATTGGAGATAAGAATCTCACAGGCTGGGCACAGGTGACTCATGCCTGTAATCCTAGCTACTCAGGAGGCTGAGATCTGAAGGTTGAGGTTCAAAGCCAGCCTGGGCAGGAAAGTCCATGAGACTCTTACCTCCAATAAACCACTAGAAAACTGGAAGTGGCCCTGTGGTTCAAGCGGTAGAGCACTTGCCTTGAGCTGAAGAGCTCAGGGACAGCGCCCAAGCCCAGAGTTCAAGCCCCACGACCGACAAAAAAAAAATAGAATCTCACAGACTTTTCTGCCTGGGCTGGCTTTGAACCATAATCCTCAGATGTCAGCCTCCTGAGTAGCTAGGATTACAGGTGTGAGCCGCTGGCACCCAGCAAAAATTTATGATTCTTAATACCATGAATGGACACAATTAAGGTGAGTGAGCAGCCATCTGTTTGCGGTTGGTACTCCACCAGTAATGATGGTCCACTTCCACACAGAAAAAGAAAATGAGTTGTCTTTTAAGCTCCTGGACTGTTTTTATCTGATGAAACATGCTATTTTATTAATCTCATGATTTATTCTTTATGCTTACTAGCTATCTCTTAGGGATGGCATGGACCTGCCTAACGCATAAGGTCATTAGAGTGGAATTACAGTTTTCTACATTTAAAAAGTCTGAAGGTAAGATTAAGGGAATAAATCTGCTGTAAGATTTGAACAGAGTCCTAACTCAGGAGACTGAGTTCTGAGGATCGCAGTTTGAAGCCAGCCCGAGCAGCAAGGCCAAGGTGCTTCAATTAACCAGAAGTGGAGGTGTGGCTCATAGTAGAGCACTAGCCTTAGGCAAAAAAGCTTAAGAACAGTGCCCAGGCACTGAGTGCAAGCCCCAGACCTGTAACACAAACACGTACACACATGCACGTGCACACATGCACATAACACAATTTGGACAGAGCAGGGTTGCTTATGTTGCTTCATTATTTGAATACTGCACCCTGCGCGTGAGGTCATGGCTTGATCTCTAGCATTAACCCCAGCCCTGGCTTTCCACAGAACTGCAGTAGCTGAAGATACATCCAGGGATTGTATAGAAGCCAACTGAAAACCCAGTGCCAGTCATAGAGAGGCACCACAGCCTTAGAAAACTTCTCAAAGCCAGCGCTGGTGGCTTACACCTGTAATCCTACCTACTCAGGAGGCTGAGAGCTGAGGATCACGGTTCAAAGCCAGCCCAGGCAGGAAAAGTCCATGAGACTCTTATCTCCAATAAACCACTCAAAACTGGAAGTGGTACGGTGGCTCAAGTGGTGGAGTGGTGGAGCGCTAACCTTGAGCTGAAGAGCTGAGGAACAGTGCCCAGGCCCAGAGTTCAAGCCCCTGACCAAAAGAAAAAGAAAAAAATAACTTCTCAAGATGGATTGGGATTGAGAAGGATCTAATCAACTGAGCACAAAAATTAGCAGGCATTTGTTTCTAGATTAGTAACTGTGACAATGCTCTTTTGCTCAATGTTATCATATGCGGTAATAATTTGAGTTGAACTGGGATAATCTGATGCCATTATAGCATTTTTTTCTGGCACAGTCTTCTGAACTGGATTGCTTATGTAATTAATCTTGGCCTTGCTATTGACTTTCTGTGTGACTTGAGTTGAGGTCTCCCTCAATTTCCCCATCTGTCAAACACAATACTAATTGTTAATAATCATATAATTTTATTCATAGTAATAGTTCATAACAGCATACCTAACTTGCAGAGTGTAAGTATCTAATTGGCTAATGTACCAAAAGCACTTAGAACTATCTTTTTTTAAATGCTGGTACTGGGGCTTGAACTAGTAACCCCATACTCTGCTTGGCTCTTGGGGGTGGCACTCTACCACTTGAGCTATACCTCCACTCTGGGTTTTAGGTGATTAATTGGAGATAGGAGTCTCATGGGCTTTCCTGTCTGGGCTGGCTTCAAAACCTGATCCTCAGATCTCAGCCTTGTGAGTAGCCAGGATTACAGGCATGAGTCCTAGTGTCCAGCAAGAACTGTCCTTAACAGTAGTCAATAGCTTCTGGGACTACTAGACTGGAAAGTTGGCAAAGGGAGAAATAGGAATATCAACAATATGGTTATGTTTACCAACCATTGACTTTTTAGAGTGGTAGAGTGGCATTCTGGGTCAGATTTTGAATCCAAATTCCTCATCTTTTTTTTTTTAATTTGGTGCCAGTACTAGGCCTCGAACCCAGGGCCTTGTCTCTTACTGGCTTTTTCTACTCAAGGCTGATGTTCTTCTTCCACTTGAGCCACACCTCCACTTCCAAATTCCACATTTCTTAGATATAAGGCAGAAATGATACCTTTGAAAGTATCTGTTTAACCTTGCTCCAATGTTTTAAGATTTCTCCAAGGGATGGTACTTTTTCCTTGGCCCAAATCCTGACTTCCTCTGTCCTGGTTGATATTGACCCTGCTGCTTACCGCAGCGTCCCAAGACCAGGGCGACTACACAGAAGCAAAGAAAGAAGAGCAAGGCACACCAGGCCAGGGGGGCCAGCCACGGCTGCGGAGTCACCTGTGGGTCCCCCCAGGTCTGGTTCTCATTCTCAGATGTATGGTTCCTGCCATCAGATCCCTTTGTTCTGTTCAATGATTGTTTGCTAATGTTAGATCGTGAAGGAACCGGCATATGGGAAAGCCTTGTGTCTCTGGGCACAAAGAAAGGCGAGATGGTCTTGTTATCTGGGTTGCTGACAGAGTCAGAACTTGGTGGTGACAGCATATTTACCTTGGGGGTAATGAACTCCTTCAGAGAACTGTATTTGGCCCCAGAATCTGTGGTGAGTTCCTGGGGACTACCAGTATCCTCTGTGTTTGCAACCAAACCTTCCTGTGTGGTTGCTGATGGATTTTCTATTAATGGCAGAAAATAGCTCGTCCTAGTAGTTGGTTGGTGATGTAAATTCATAGTTTTTAAGAACCTTAATCTGTCCCTTCCATCAGATGAAGAACGAGTGTTTAGATAGGTGGAAGGTGACTGCTCGAAAACCATCAAGTCTGGATCTTTACCTGAAAGATAAATAAAATATCACTGATTTGATTTTTGAAGGTTTTTGTGTGCATGTGTTGGGTGCCAGTCATGGGTCTTGAACTCAGGGCCTGGGCACTGCCCCTGAGTTTCTTTGAGTCAAGGCTGGCGCGCTACCACTTGAGCCACAGCTCCACTTCCAGCTTCTTGGTAGAACTGTGATCCTCATATCTCAGCCTCCTGAATAGCTAGGATTACAAGTGTGAGTCAACCAGTGCTTGGCTCATTTCAGTTTTTAATACCAAATATCTTTAAGGCATAGTTTGGAGAAATGTTGAGTTTTCGACATTTGAACAAAGTTGAAAATGTGCCACTGTGAACTTCTGAAGGGCATACCCAGAGCACCAGGTGTATTCCATGTATCAAAACGCTGGAAGACTCTGCTGGGAGCATGTTTGTCTATACCACGAGCGGGCCTTCCATGTGCAAGTGCTACTGAACAGCAGTGGGTGTTTGTGTGAGAAATGGAAACATAGTGAGGTGCTCTAAAGCATTTTTAAATAGAACAAAATAAGCCAGGGGTGCTGGTGGCTTGTGCCGGGAATCTTAGCTACTCAGGGGGCTGAGATCTGAGGGTTGAGGTTCAAAGCCAGCCCAAGTCTGTGAGACTCTTACCTCCAGTTAACCACTAAAAAGCTGAAAGTGGAGCTGTGGCTCAAGTGGTAGAGCAAAAGAGCTCAGGGACAGTGCCTAGGCCCTGAGTTCAAGCCCAAGACTGGCAAAAATAAAAATATAACAAAATAAAATAAGGACCTGAGTAGGGGAGTGATACAAAAATAACAATCCCTGAGGTGCTCTGCTCTGCTTTACTCTTTTCTCTTTGTATACTAACTCCTTTTCCTCTGACTTTAGACATCTTTAAACAATGGCAAGATTAAAACAAGAGCTCTCCCATTGTTCCTGCTAGCAACCCCATTCTCTCTCTCCATTTCTTTTCAGACTTTATCTCTGTCATCTTATTCTACTCCTCACCATTCTGTTAAAATCTGGTTCTTCTGCCTGGCACTAGTGGCTAATATCTGTAATCCTTGAGATCTGAGGATCTAGCTTCAAAGCCAGCCCAGGCAAAAAAGTCTGTGAGACTCTTACTTCCAATGAACCACCAAAATGCTAGAAATAGAAGTGTAGTTCAAGTAGTAGAGTGTCAGACTTGAGCAAAAAAGCCAAAAAAGGGGTTAGAGTTATGGCTGAGGTGGTAAGGTGCCTGCCAGTGAGCATAAAGTGTCAGATGTGTATACATACCTATGGATGTATTTATATACAAATATACCTATTTATATATCTTTAAATTATATGTAAGGATATATACAAATTTATATATAAAAGATCTACTTATCTATTTGATAGTTCCTTGAGCAGTTTTCTACCCTGTAGCCCTGAGCATTTTCCTAGATTAAGGCAATCCAGTTTATCACTTTAACTGTCTTGTTTCCACATTTGTTGAGATAGGTCTCTCTGTGTAGTCCAGGTTGGCCTTAAACTCACAATCCTCTTCCCTTGGCCACCTGAGTGCTGGGATTAAAGGCAGGAGCCATCACACTTGGCTTGATTCCCTAAATGCTGACAAAGTCATCCCAAAAGAATCCACACCTTTCACATGGATGCCCAGCCCTGTTCTCTCTAGGTCAGCTTTATTTTCCAGTCCAATTCCTCATGTCTTCTTAAGGTAGCAGGCAGATTTTCTCATGTTCCTGCAGGAAGACAGAACTTCCCCTGGGTAAAGTTCACCAAAAGGATAACACCACGTGGTTCAGGCAGAAAAGAGCTTATTGGGGAGAGAGCAAACTGCCATCCCACACAAGATGGCGGCATGCAAAGAGGAGAGAGGGAAGAAGAAGGGAAGAAGAGAGGAAACGTGGGTGAGTGGAATTCTATAGGGAAAGGTGGGAGGTGTGACCACAGTGGATGTGGAAGTGATCACAGCCTGGGGAACCTCTGGTTCAGGAAGTGACCTCAGAGCCTAGGGTCCTTTGCTCACCCACAGTCAAGTGATTGACAGTCAGGTGAATACTGGTTTCAGGCAGGTGATTTCTGGTATGGCTACCTGCTGTCTTTCACTAAGAGGAAGTGGGGGCTGTTCTCCTGGGCAGGCCTAACCCCTCTACATCCTGGGGAAACCCTCTAGGTTCCCTCTCGAAGGCTAGCCATTCTGGACTTGAAAATCAAAAGAAACATCCACTTAGAAATCTGGCTTGTAGCAGTTTCTCCCCCTCCCTCCTTCCCTCTCCCCTATCTCTCTGTCTCTTCCTCCCCCCCCCCTCCCTCCCTCCAAACTGGAGATCATTTACCATTGGATCACGTCCATACCAGCCAACAGCCCTTTGGCTTGTGCCCTTTAGAAGTAAGATGCAGGCTGAGTCCTGGGGCCTCCCTCTCCTCCCTCTAGTTCCCCCCTGAAGGCTAGCTGTCCTGGGCTTGAATTCTAGCTAAAGCTGTCTGTCTCTCCTCAAGAGCACCCACACTGTTAAAAAAGAGTGCCCCTGCCTTTCCCTTCCTTTCTGCTTGTCTGTCTGCTTTGTGTTTGTTTGCTTGCCTACTTAATAAAGCTCTGCCAAATTTTCTTACCATCGTGACTTGTCCAGAAATTTACCATCTTGGCCACGTGGTGGGTTAAGGGTTTAACCTTGGACAGCCCCTACTCTTCCACCAAGCTTACTCTTCCATCCATCCAGGAAGTATTCTATGATTAATTCATATGCTAATGAGCCTTGCTAACAAAGTTGCTACCTCTCTTCACAGGCACTGGAAACTGGGCTCCTCCGTCTAATTGCTGGCAAAGATGCCTAAACATATTCTGTTCTTGCTTATTTAGGCCTGGTTATCTGTAAGAGATTCTGTCTGTTGTTAGCAAAAGCTTTGTGTCTTGTTTTGCCTTGTATTTTGTTTGATGTTCCCTGTTTTTCTAGCATTGACCAGGTGGTTCTAGCATGCAGTGGGCAAAAATGTCTTTTGCCACTGGAATTCCAGAAAACCTATGGCCAATTTCCTGGCCTCTTCATCTCCCCCCAAGAAATTAGCTCCCACCAGTACTCCTTCTTACAGTATTTGTGTGTGTGTGTGTGTGTGTGTGTGTGTGTGCGTGCCAGTCCTGGAGATTGAACTCAGGACCTCATGTTCTTTTTTAGCTTTTGTGCTAAAGGTTGGTGCTCTACCACTTGGGCCATATCTCCACTTCTATTTCTTTGGTATATATATACATATATATATATGTATAGATAGAGAGATCTATAATGATCTATATTTATATTGATAATCTATACTTATATAGGTCTATATCTAATTGGCTTTTTGCCTTGATCCTCAGATCTCAGCCTCTAGAGTAACTAAGATCACCAGTGGAATCATATAAATGACCAAGGCCTGTTGCTTTGAGACCAATGAAATGAGATGCTGATACATGTTCACAGTGGTCCCTGCCTTCCATCTTTGTACTTATATGCAATGCCCATAGACAGTTAACATTTACTTTTGGCTTTGCCCCTTTCCCTTTTTGGGAGCAGGATCTTTCTCTGTACCTCAGACTGGCTACAACTCAAAATCCTCCATACCACAGACGCCCTGGTGAATCTCGCTGGAATTATAGGCATGCACCACTACACCTGGCTTTATAATTCTTTTTGTTGTTGTTACTGTTGGTTATGGGCCATGAACTCAGGGCCTAGGTATTGTCCTTGAGCTTTTTTGCTCAAGGCTAGTGCTCTGCCACCTGAGCCACAGCTCCAATTCCAGTTTTTTAGTGGTTAACTGGTGATAAGAATCTCACAGGCTTTCTTGCCCAGGCTGGCTCTGAATGGCAGTTCTTAGATCTCAGCCTCGAGTAGCTAGGATTACAGGTGTAAGCCACCAGCACCTGGCTTTATAATTCTTTTTATTTATCTAGTGATATATTCATTCAGTTCAAGTACCTACTTACGTTTTGTTGAGGGCTCCTGAAATAAAGCACTTAAGTTCTTGTAAGGTTTATCATCTGGAGTGAACTTCTCATAGTTGAATTTGCCAAGCCAAAAGGAATTTCCTTGCCACTTTTTCACACAGAGGGCACTGAATGACTTAGGGATTGATAGCTGCCAGCCACTTTCCAGGCTATCCTCCTCTGCTTGAGTATTATCAACACCTTAAAACATCTTGAATATAAGCCAGGCACTGGTGGCTCACACCTGTAATCCTAGCTACTTAGGAGGCTGAGATCTGAGGATCACAATTCAAAGCCAGCTCAGCCAGGAAAGTCTATCAGACTCTTATCTCCAGAAAGCCACCTGAAAACTGGCTCAAAGTGATAAATAAAATGCTAGCCTTGAGCAAAAAGAGCTAATAGGGACATCACCCAGGCCATGAGTTCAAGCTTCAGAACCAGCACACAGACACACAGATACTGACACACACACACACACACACACACAGTCTTGAAATACTGATCTATTACCATCTGTTATGTTGTACAAGATAGCGCTGGTTCCAGGTTTTAATATGCAGCTCTCTAGTGTTGGGCAGTGGATGTGGAGACAATTGACGTTGTCATGAATTGGGTCATAGAAGAAGACTGCCAAATTACAGGACACTGAAAAAAAAAACAAGAATAGGCAAAGTATATCTGCAGGTGGTCTTGATTTCTACCAGTTTTTGTTTGAGGATCTGGCTATCTAACACAGGCTGGTGTCAATCTCCTCTTTGCTTAGCCTCCCAAATACTGGGATTATAGGCATATGCCACCACACTCAGCCCCACTATTAGTGTGATGACAGCTGTAATTACTGCTCTTTCAGGAACATTGGATTAACACTACATTGTAAAACTCCATTTAGACCTGTGACCGAACCCTTTGCACTTTTTTTTTTCTTTTTCTTTGGCAGTACTGAGGTTTGAAGTCAGGGCCTTGTGCTTGCTAGTCAGGTGCTCTGTCACTTAAGCCATGTCCCTTGTTCTCATAGTGCTTTTTTTGTGTGTAGTTATGAGGACTGTTATGAGCTTGAACTTGGGGCCTCTCGCTCTTGCTTGGCTTTTTCCGTCCAAAGCTAGCATTTCATCTACCACTTGAGCCACAATTCCACTTCCTGCTTTGTGCTGGTTAAGTTGAGATAAGAGACTAATAGACTTTTCTACCTGGACTGGCTCTGAACCTCAATTTTCAGATCTTAGACTCCTGAGTAGCTAGGATTATAGGTGTGAGCCACCAGTACCTAGCTTTGATAATATCTTTTTTTTTTTTTTGGGTCCAGACGTGGGGCCTGAACTCTGGGCCTGGGCACTGTCCCTCAGCTCTTCAGCTCAAGGCTAGCACTCTACCACTTGAGCCACAGCGCCACTTCCGGCTTTTTTTTTCTTTTTGCTTATGTGGTGCTGAGGAATCGAACCCAGGGCCTCAGGCATGCAAGGCAAGCACTCTACCACTGAGCCCCTTCCCAGCCCTGATAATATCTTTTTAAAAGAAAACACTTGTCTTTCTCTTTCCACAAAGGATACCGTGAGTCATTATTTTGTAGTGTTATGTTCATGAAAACTTGAACTGACTGAAAATTTCTGGGTTTTGTACAGTAAGCATACCTTGTAGTGTTGAGCAAGCATGGCCAAAAATAATAAATTAGAAAACAAATTTCAAAAATAATTTTAAGGGGCTGGGAAGGTGGCTCAGTGGTAGAGTGCTTGCCTTGCATGCATGAGGCCCTGGGTTCAATTCCTCAGCACCACATAAGCAGAAAAAGCTGGAAGTGGTGCTGTGGCTCAAATGGTAGAGCACTAGCCTTGAACTGAAGAGCTGAGGGATAGCACACAGGCCTAGAGTTCAGGCCCCATGACTGACCAAAAAATAATAATAATAATTTTAAGTTCTCCATGTACATTCTATACCTCTGTTGGTGTGGAAAAGCTCTCAGTCAATCCCATTTTAGTATCAGATATATTTAAATTGTTTGATCTAGCTGCATACTGGAGCCCCACCTGTAATCCTGGTATCAGGAGATCTGAGGATTATGGTTCAAAGCCAGCCCAGGAAGGAAAGTCTGGGAGCTTCTTATTTCCAATTAACCAGGAAAAATCCATAAGTGGGGCTGTAACTCAAGTGATATAGCACCAGCCTTAAGATAAAAAACTCAATGACAGTGTCCAGGCCCTGAGTTCAAGCCCTTGGACTAGCACAAAGTAAAAAAAAAAAAAAAAAAATGATACTACTAACCTTTAAATGGTACTTTAAAAAGCTAATTATTATAAACATTTTTGAAATCATATCTGGTTATAAAAAATATTTTCAACCCTGAAGGCAATATGTTCTTTTAGCACTTAAAAACACACACCAGGGCTGGGAAGGTGGCTCAAGTGGTAGAGTGCCTTAAGCTAAAGAGCTCAGGGACAGCACCCAGGCCCAGAGTTCAGGCCCCATGATGGACAAACACACACACACACACACACAGAGCCAGCCGAGCACCAGTGGCTCACGCCTATCCTAGCTACTCAGGAGGCTGAGATCTGTGGATCACAGTTCAAAGCCAGCCGGGCAGAAAAAGCCATGAAACACATCTCCAGAAACCACCAGAAAACCAAAGTGGCTGTAGCTAAAGTGACAGAGTGCTATCCTTAAGCTGAAGAGCTGAGGGACAGGGCTCAGTCCCAGAGTTCAGTCCCCATGACCGACCAAAAATCAAACAAAAACACACGCACACATAAAGAAAAAAGGATTGGGAGCTAAGCATTAGTAGCTCACAGCTGTTACCCTAGCTACTCAGGAGATGGGAGGATCATGGTTTGAAGCCAGCCCAGGCAGAGAAATCCATGAGAGTCCGAACTCCAATTAACCAGCAAGAAACTGGACTGGGGCTTGGTTCAAGTGATAAGCCTTGAGTACAAAAGCCCAGGAACAACACCTAGACAGAGTTCAAGCCCTAGGAAGAGCACAAAAAAAAAAACAGAACAAAACAAAAAATCCCAGTTTGAAGCCAGTCAGGACAGATAAGCGCAAGACTCTTCTCTCCAATTAATCAGCAAAAAGCTAGAAGTGGAGGTGTGATTCAAGTGGTAGAAAAAGCCAAGTGAGTGTGCAAGGCCCTGAGTTTAAGCCCTAGTACTGGCACAAAGAGTAAAAAGGAAAGGAAGGAAGGAAGGGAGAGAGGGAAGGGGGGGAGGGAGGAAGGAAGGAAGGAAGGGAGGGAGGGAAGGGGGGGAGGGAGGAAGGAAGGAAGGGAGGGAGGGAGGGAGGGAAGGGGGGGAGGAAGGAAAGAAGGGAGGGAGGGAAGGAGGAAGGAAGGAAGCAGGCAGGCAGGAAGGCTGTTTCCAGCAGTCCAGATCCTGTAGCATTCTGAAACATCTGTTTGTCAACAGAGCTTGCTGTGGCCACCCTACAGAGGCAATCTCTGCCTCTCAGTGTCCCTCAGTCTCTCCTCTTGTATCCTCTCCTCCCCTCCCTTTCCCCCTTCATCCTCACCTCTCTCTCTCCCTCTCTCTTCTCCCTGTGTCTCTCTGACTCTCCTTCCCTCCCTCCCCTAGGTCCCGTCACAGCGCATCTCTTCTCCCCTTTTGCCCTCTCTGCCCTGGTCTTGGGCCTGGGCTCCTTATCTAGGCCTTGAGTCTTGGGAGGCCCTGCCCTGACTTTTTACCACTTACCATCCTTCCTGAGACAGCAGCTGCGGCCACACTTCTGACCAGTGCTCTCAGAGTAATACTTCAAGAACTGGGCTCCCAGCTTCTGAGACTCTTCCAGGTCGAGGAGGAGCCCCGGGAATCGGCGGATCCAGCAGTCTCTGAAGAAGACGGTGGGCGAGCAGAGGGTGTGTGCGGCGGGGCCCCTGCTGAGGAGCAGCAGCGCAGCCAGCGTCAGCACCTTGGCCGCCCGCATGGCTCACGCGGAGACAGCACGACCTCCAGAGGGGTGCAGGAGCCCACCATTGGGGTGCAGGATTTAGGAATCTGCAGATCTTCAGGCTGTTGTTAGGGTGAGGCTCTTTGGGACGCTTCCGGAGTCACCTATGTTGATTTTTCTTTCCTCACAGTGGCACCCAAGGTAAGCAGCAAACTGTTGCTTTCTCTTCTGAACACTTTTCAAACGGCTTCAGTGTCTTTCCCTCGAGCTTTTAAAGATGCCGATCCTCTCCTCTGGCTTTTCTTCTTTCTCTGAAATAAAGAGTCACAGACACCTCTTAGTAAAGCAAATAGAAAAACAAGAAGAAATCCTACCCAGGAGTCTTGCTGAGGAAAACAAGTTCGTCACCAAACATCTGATAAAGGAAGGATCTAGTTCACCAAAAACAAGATGTTTTGTGGAGTATTCTGCATTGTTTTAAAGGATCTAAGCAAAACTTAGTTCTTTATTTCTTTGGTTCTAAGTTCTGGTGTTCAAGTTCACTTTGCACTCTCATTATATTTTTGTTATTTTTACCTCAAAACAACTTGAAAGTGAAAATGAAAGAAAGTTTGAAGTTTTAGTTTTATAGAGATTGCTAAATCATTGATTGATCATAGATTCTGGTCACTTTTCCGGTGCTGTTCCTGGGGCTTGAACTCAGGGCCTGGGTACTGTCCCTGAGCTTCTTTTGCTCAAGGCTCTCTATCACTTAAGTCACAGCTCTACTTCAGGCTTTTTTTGGTAGGTTAATGGAGGTAACAGTCTCAAGGACTTTCCTGCCCAGGCTGGCTTTGAAATGTGATCCTCAGATCTCAGCCTCCTGAGTAGCTAGAATTACAGGTGTGAGCCACCAGCACCTGGCTTCCTTCCAGTCTTTTAGACACATGGACTATGTTTCCTTTGTGTGATGTGTAATTCTTAGAAATTCTCACAGTCCATGCAGGGAAAGTGGAACCCTCCATCATTGTTTAACCCTTTGGCGGCTGAATGATTCTTAAATGAAAGCCATTGTTTCATAAGTAAAGTAAAAGCTTGCCTTCAAATGTGCCAAACAGAGCTGGGTACTGGGCCCATTCCTGAAATCATAGCTATCAAGAGTTTGAGATCTAGTTGTTTAAGGATACAGGTGGACCTGTTGCAACAATGAGAAGTACAAGTTGTCATGTCCAAAACGAGCTTTACAACGTTGGGGGGCGGGGGGAGAAGGATTGGGATTGGGGGGGAGGGGGGAGGCTGGGAAGGGAGGTGAAGGGTAAACAAAGGAGGAGGCTGCAATGCTTGGTAAGAAATGTACGCATTATCCTGCCTATGTAATTGTAACCCCTCTGTACAGTATGTTCACAAATAAAATTAAATTAAAAAAAAGAGTTTGAGATCTGAGGATGACAGTGTAAAACAGTCTAGGCAGAAAAATTCTGTGACATTCTAATCTCCAATAAACTACCAAAAAGCTTAAGTGGAGCTGTGGCTCAAGTGGTAGAGTTCCAGCCTTGAGTGGAAAAGCTAAGCGAGAGTGTCCAGGTTCCAAGTTCAAGCCCCAGTATCAGCATTGCTGGACGCTGGTGGCTCATACCTGTAATCCTAGCTTCTAAAGAGGCTGAGATCTGAGGAACACGATTCAAAGCCAGCCTGGGCAGGCAAGTCCTAGATACTCTTATCTCCAATTAACCATCAGAAAACCGGAAGTGGCACTATGTCTCAAGGGTTAGAGCGCTTGCCTTGAGCTGAAAAGCTCAGGGACAGGACCCAATTCCAGGGTTCAAGCCCCTCCACACACACACACACAACACAACACACACACACATAGAGCAGATAGCCTTTCTTACAAATCCTGTCACACACACACACACACACACACACACACAGAGCAGATAGCCTCTCTTACAAATCCTGTCAGTTACCCAGAATGACTGTACTGTTGTAATATAGTGATGCTTTATATTTATATTTCTAGTAGGGTACTATGAGAAATTCAAAATGAAATTACCCTCTTAAAAACACTTATCTCCTGAAACAGATAAGAATATGGGGAATGTGGATCAAGATATGCAGTTGTGTGGTGAGCAGGATTGTTTGGTTTGTTTTTATGCGAATTTTGGAGCTTGGACTCAGGGCCCACATATGGTTCTTTAGCTTTTCTGCTCAAGGCAAATTAACCAGCAGTTAACCAGCAAGAACCTGATTAATTGGAAAGTAAGAGTCTCACAGACTTTTCTGCCAGGATTGGCTTTGAACCACAATCCTTAGATCTCAGCTTCCTGAGGAGTTGGGATTATAGGCATAAACCACAATGTGCTTTCTTATTTTGGTTTTTTGTACAACAGTGATATAAATTTCTTGAAGTGAACCAGAGTTCCATGATCACTCGATAATAGGATACAGATTGATTCAATTTACCTTATTTCATAGAACAGTGTTTTCTTGAAGCCTTTGCATAATATTTTAGGTCTTTTATAAAGAAAGGAATTTATACTGGCTCTGATTTTGCATTTCCAGCCCAACAGAAAACTTACTGTGTGAGGTATTTAGATGATTTGATCTTTTTAGATGTTCTCAGTCTTCAATGATGTTATTGTTATGTCAAAGGCAAAAAAAAAAAAAAAAGCTTCTAGGACCAGTGCCCAGAATTGTCAGACTAAGACCAGATTTCCAGGCCAGGCGATCTTGCCCTGATATTATTACTGTGCTCGCATTGCTTTTCCAGGACACATCTTTCATTGAACGGGATTTTGTTTTTGGTCTATTTCAAAAGGCCAGAAAATACCAGTCTGAAGCATACCTGTGGCTGATGGGAAACAAAAGCATCCATTGGTGTAGGATTCTAAAGAGGCTGAGGAGAGACTGAGAGCCTGTTCATCCTGACTGACCCACTGAGTCCTGCACTGTAGCACATCAACTGCACAGCCAACTGCTCTGACACTGGGTCTTCCAGCAGGTCCTCTAGCCGACTGCCTAATCCTTGATCCAAATGATATTTCTGCAGAGAAGGCTACATCCTTGACCTCTCACCTGTCCTCATGGGTCCACACCTGCTCTTGCTCCCCCACCCAAAACAACACTGTCCCACCACTCTGTCAGGGGATGGAGGGTGAGAGGCCCTTGTGGGAACAGATGAAGTCTTACTAGTAATGACATAAACAATTCATTGATTTTTAAAAATTACCTTGAGTCACAGTTTCCCATTCAACATGTCAATTTATGAGTACATCTTTATTTTATATTATTATTTTTTAAATGATCTCTAGTCTGACAAGGGGGTTTCTATTCAACATGTCAGTTTATAAGTACAATGTATCTTTATTTTATATTATTATTCTTTGTGTATGTGTGTGTGTGTGTGTGCACGCGTGCGCGCGTGTGCGCATGTGTGTGTGTGTGCACCTTCCCTGGGACTTCAAGTCAGGGCCCCTTAGTTTCATTTGGCTTTTTTGCTCCAAGTTGGTGCTGAAACCACTTGAGTCACACCTCCACTTCCAGCTTTTTGCTGGTTTATTGGAGATAGGGATCTCACTGTCTTTCCTGCTCAGGCTGGCTTTGAACCATGATCCTCAGATCTAAGCCTCCTGAGTAGCTAGGATGACAGCATGAGCCACCAGCACCCAGCCTATATTATTAATTAATTCATTAATTAATGTTCGTGGGTCATGGGGCTTGAACTTAGGGCCTAGGTACTATCTTGAGCTCTTTTGCTCAAGGCTAGCACTCTACCACTTGAGCCACAGCGCCACTTCTGATATTCTGGTGGTTAATTGGAGATAAGAGTCTCACAGACTTTCCTGCCTGGGCTTGCTTTGAATCCGGATCCTCAGATCTGTCTTCAGAGTGGATGGAATTACAGGTAGGAGCCACCAGCCTTATTATTATTGATTATCCTTAGTTGTACAAAGGGTTTTTAAGTCAACAAATCAGTTTGTGAATACAATGTGCAATTTTCAACAATGTGTTGAAAAAACTTTGTGCTTTACCATTTTGACTTTCTCTTCTCTGGGTTTTTAAATCCTCCTAAAACAACAGACTAATGAGCATGGCACAGTGTTCTTTGACTTTGAAATAGGGGAAAGTATTTTAAGTAGGAAGATTTCATTTAATGTTTTATCATCCAAGAAGAAAGATGAAGTTTATTTTTTAAAGAAGGATAGGAGGAGGGATGTAGATTGGTAGAGGTAGTGTTTATCATGCATGAAAATCAGTATTTGAATTCCAGGTCTTATAAACAAAAAGTAAAAATATACTGTTTCTCCTAATTGAGCATAATTATACTTGGCTTTTAAATTCTATTCTATAGTCACAAGTGTGTGTGTGTGTGTGTGTGCGTGTGCGTGTGCGTGTGCGTGTGTGTGTGTGCGCGTGTGCGTGCGTGCGTGCGTGCGTGCGTGTGCACGTGCGTATCCTGTGACTTAATCTCAGAGCTTGGCTGCTTCCCCTCTCCACTCAAGGTTGCCACACTACTATTTGAGACACAGCTCCACTTCTGGCTTTTTGCTGATTAATTGGAGATGAGAGTCTCCTGCCCTGGCTGGTTTTGAACTGCAGTCCTCAGGTCTCAGCCTCCTGAGTAGGTAGGATTACAGGTGTGAGCCACTGGTGCTCAGCACAATTTAAAGATATTAATTGGTTTATCTTTTATTTATTTATTTTTTTTGCCAGTCCTGGGGCTTGAACTCAGGGCCTAGGAGCTGTTCCTGAGCTTCTTTTGCTCAAGGCTAGCACTCTACCACTTGAGACACAGCGCCACTTCCGGATTTTTCTCTGTATATGGTTCTGAGGAATTGAGCCCAGGGTTTCATGCATGCTAGGCAAGCCACATTCCCAGCCCTTGGTTTATGTTTTAAATTCTAGAATCAGGAAACATCTCTTTCTGGTGTCCAGAATTAGGTAAGTAGAGGAGTTTTCATAGGTGCAAGGTTAGCTGAAAGGAGAATGCCATGCCGTTGTTCAGGCTAAAAAGTGTATTTAGGGTAACAGAACTGCCGGCCACACCTGATGGCGTGGGGGGTCTAATCATGGAGACTGCTTACATGGTGGGTGGGTGGGGAGGAAGGTATGGCCATGGAACCTCTCAAGGCCTGAAGGAGGCGTAACCACCGTGGATGTGGAAATAACCTCAGAACCTGGGAACCTCCCACTGCGCCCAGGTGTGCCAGTTACCTGGGTTACAGGTGCTAGGTGGGGACTTCTAGGGAGTTGTGCGCCCAGGGAGAACAAAGGGTAGGGGCCATTTTCCCCAGTGGACCTAATATTAGGTAGAAAAGAGCAAAGGGAAACACACAGAACCAAAAGTGAACAGAGGCTGTGACACCCTACTGTAATCCTACCTACTCAGGAGGCTGAGATCAAAGCATGGTGGCTTGAAGCCAGCCATAGCAGACACATCTGAGACACATCTCCAATTAAGCAGCAAAAAGCCAGAAGTAGAGATGTGACTCAAATGGTACAGCACCAGTCTTGACTGAAAAATCTAAGCAAGAACTTGAGGATTTGAGTTCACACCCTAGTACTGGCACAAAACAAAAGGCCAAAATTCAAAAATGCAGGATTCATTTTGGTTACTTTCTTGGAAAGGTCAAAGCAGGAGGACTTTCTCATCCTACTGACCCCACGCCCAAAGTCCAGGAGTCGAGAGTTGGGTCTGGCGCCTCACCTCCCTATGCCAAATAGACACACGACAAAGGACAGGGAAAGATTTATTACATGGCAGCCATGGGAAGACAGCACTTCACTCCCAGCGCCCAAGGGGAAGAGGCCAAGCACTCAAGGCGGAGGAGGTCCAGTGCCCGAGGAGGCCCGGAATCCCATGGGGAGGAATCCCAGCACCCATGGGGAGGAGGTCCCAGTGCCCATGGGGAGGAGGCCCCACACCCTGTACCCCACCAGACCTCTCCAGGTTGCCTCGGGTGGAAATGCGGATGTGGCCAGAACTCCATAGCAGGGCCCTGAGCCGGCTTGCAGCAGCCCAGGCCTTTATGGTTGCCCAGGAAGGGAAAGCGGGGAGGGGCGGGGAAGGAGGGGGAGCCCGAGATCAGCGATCCAGGCGGCCCACCCCAGAACCGAGGCGGGAGGGGGCGGGCCAGCGGGGGCGGGGCTTATGTAAACAAGGCGGGGTGTGGGCGGGGCCAGGCTCGGCAGACGGAACTTATGGGCGGAGGGCGGGACTCAGGCGAGGATGGGCGGGGCACAGGCGAGGAGAGGGGCTCAGGCGTGTAGGGGTGGGCGCAGGGCAGGAGGTCGGGGCTTTGCCGTGTAGGGCGGAGCTTAGGGACGGGGCTTTGCCGTGTAGGGCGGGGCGCGGGGCGGGGCCCAGGCTGTAGGGCGGGGCCCGGGCTGCGGGGCGCGGGGCGCGCGGGCCCAGCCATGTCTGCGGAGGAGATGGTGCAGATCCGCCTGGAGGACCGTTGCTTCCCAGTGAGCAAGCGGAAGCTGATCGAGCAGAGCGACTACTTCCGCGCGCTTTACCGCTCGGGCATGCGGGAGGCCCTGGGCGCAGAGGCCGGGGGGCCCGAGGTGCAGCAGCTGCGCGGCCTGAGCGCCCCGGGCCTGCGGCTGGTGCTGGAGTTCATTGACGCGGGCGGCGCCCGCGAGGGCTGGGTCCCGGGCGCGCGGGGCCCGGCGGGCGGAGGCCGGCCGGAGGAAGAGGAGGACGAGGCCGGGCTGCTGGCCGGGCTGGTGGAGGCCGCCTCCTTCCTGCAGGTCACCCCCCTGCTGCAGCGCCTGCTGTCCCACGTGCGCCTCTCCAACTGCCTGGAGCTCTACCGCCTGGCCCTGGTCTACGGCCTGCCCGACCTGCGGGACGCCTGCCTGGCCTTCATGGCCGTCCACTTCCACCAGGTGCTGTGCCAGCCTCAGTTTCCCCTCCTGGCCCCTCCCGCGCCCGCCCCGGGGGACGTCGGCCTGAAGCAGCAGCTGCTGGAAGCCCGGATGGCGGGGACCCCCGTCCTGGTGGCCTTGGGGGACTTCTTGGGGGGGCCCCTGGCCCCACACCCCTACCAGGGCGAACCCCCGTCCATGCTCAGGTACGAGGAGACGACCGAGCGCTGGTTCCCCCTGGCCAGCAATCTGCCCCCGGACCTGGAGAACGTCCGGGGCTACGGTGCCGCTGCCCTGCACAACTACCTCTTTATCGTGGGGGGCTACCGGGCCTCCAGCCAGGAGATCGCCGCTGCGCACTCCTACAACCCCGGCGCCAACGAGTGGCTGCAGGTGGCCTCCATGAACCAGAAGAGGTGAGGTTCCAGGGCCGGGGGTGTGTGCGTGCGTGCGGGGGTGTGTGCGTGCGGGGGGTGTGCGTGCGGGGGGTGTGCGTGCGGGGGGGGTGGATGTGCGTGCGGAGGGGGTGCGTGCGGGATGTGGGTGTGCGTGCAGGTGGCGCGCCGGTCTTCGGCCTTGAACTCGGGGCCCGGGCGCTGTCCGGCTCGCTGTTGCCCCTTGAATGATCTGGAGACTCCTTGCCCGGGTCCTGGAGCCAGTATGACAACTTCCTTGTTTCTTGTCTGGGGCCCAAACTTCCAGGCCGAATTCCCGCCCCTCCCTCCAGGGCAGTGGAGCATTCTTTCCCAGGATGCTAGGCGTATGCTGGGGAGGGCAGTGGGCTGAGTGATTTCCCTGCAGGAACTTCTCCGCCTCCTCTCCCAGGGGGAGGAAGATGATGTGGTTTCTGGAAAAGAAACCTTAAAAGAAGCTGATGGTCCACGCCTGTCATTTAACTACTCAGGAGGCTGAGATCTGATGATTGGGGTTCAAAACCAGCCAGGACTGGAAAGTCTGAGACTTTATCTCCAGTCAACCAACTAAAGGTTGGAAGTAGAGGTGCGGTTCAAACGGTAGAGTGCCAGCCTTGAGTGAAAAAGCTCAGGAGTATCCAGGCCCTGAGTTCAAGCCACAGAACTGAAAGAATAAAAGAAAAAAAAGAATTTTAATTTTTAGGGTGTAATGGTGAGGATAATAACAGCTATTCACCATTTCATGGCCAGGAGATCCTTAGAAAGGTCCCCTCCCCCCACTATCGGGGGAGGAAGCTTTTTCATTCAAGGCTGGTGCTCCACCACCTGAGCCATCGCTCCACTTCCAGCTTTTTTTTTTCTGATTAACTGGATATAAGAATGTCTTGGAATTGTCAGCCTCCACTGGTTTTAAACCATCCTCAGATCTTACCCCCCTCCCTGATTCACTAGGATTTCAGGCATGAGCCACTGGCACCTGGCAAGGTTCACTGAGTTCGATGAACTCATATATCACTCAGGGTTTAGCGTATGAGGAGCTCAGAGCTCCCTCCTCCCCCGTTCCTCCTCCTCTTCTGTCTTTTACTTTTTTTTTCCCTCCTGTTTTTGTTGTTTTGTTTTGTTTTTTGCCATAGTCTTGCATTGCCCAAGCTGGCCTTGAAACACATAATCCTCAGACTCCTGAAGAAGACTGAGATTATAAAAGTATATACTGCCCTGCTTTAGGACAACCTTTAATTTCTTAAACACCAAGTATCAGCCAAACAAGCATAAAGCCCTGAGTTAAAATCGAAGTACCATTAAAAGAAAAAGAACAAAACTAAAGTCAAACTTAGCTGGGCATCAGTGATTCATACCTATAATTCTAGCTACTCAGGAGGTTGAGGTCTGAAGGATCAATATTCAAGGCTAACCTGAGCAGAAGAATTTTGACTCTTATTTTGAAAATAGCAAAAAGTCGTGTTAGAGGTGTGGTTCAAGTGTTAGAGCACCAGCCTAGTAAACAAACCAAGCTACTGTGGGGCACTGAATTCAAATACTGGTACCAGAATACACACACACAAAGAGTAATGTCAACATCAAATCGTTGCTTTTTTTTTTTTTTTTTTCCTTTTTCGTGCCAATCCTAGGGCTTGAACTCAGGGCCTGGGTGCTGTCCCTGAGTTCTTTTGTGCTAGGCTAGTGCTCTATCACTTGAGCCACAGTTCTGCTTCTTGTTTTTTTTGGTAGTTTTAGTGGAGATAAGAGTCTCATGGACTTTCCTGCCCAGACTGTCTCTGAACTGTGATCCCTAGATCTCAGCCTCCTGAGTAAGTAGATTATAGGTGTGAGCCCCTGGCTCCCAGCTCAAATTGCTATTTTATCTGATTTTTTAATTTATTTTTTCCTCACATTTATTTAAAGTTTTTCTATTTATAGTTATGAACATAGTATGAAGAAATCATTGTGGCAGTATTTCCTTCTTGATTCTTTATGTATGTGTGCACGCGTGCATGTGCATGTGAATGCACACACGTGTATGTGTCAGCAGTGGAGCTTGAACTCGGGTCCTGACACTCAGTTGGTTTTTTCATTCCAGACTGGAGCTCTAGCATTTGAGCCACACCCCCACTTCTGGCCTTTTGCTTGTTAATTTCAGATGAGAGTCTTAGATTTGTCTGCTGGGCTGGCTTTGAGCCGCAATCCTCAGATCTTAGCTTTCGGAGTAGCTAGGATTACAGGTCTGAGGCTGCAGCTGGAAGCCACAATTCTGAAATGGTGTGACCCATGTGCAGGCTGTGCCATGCAGTGAGTTGTGGGGTTATTGTCTGGAATCAAAGAAGCACGCAGGCACATGCAGCTCAGCCACTGCCTGCAATGCTGAGAGACATGCACCTTCCCGCCGCGAGAAATAGGCTTAGCCGGGCACCGCTGGCTCATGCCTGTCTTCCTAGCCCCTCAGGTAGCTGAGATCTGAGGATTGAGGTTTGAAGCCAGCCTGGGCAGAACAGTCCATGAGACTCTCATCTCCAGTTAATCATTAAAAAGCCAGAAGAGCTGTGGCTAAAGTAGTAGAGCACCAGCCTTGAGCACAAAAAAGCTCAGGCACAGCACCTAGACCCTGAGTTAGTCTTAGGACTAGCATGTGTGTGTGTGTGTGTGCATGTGTGCACTTGTGCCAACGTGCACATACGGACACACATACAATCTTAAAAAAACAACAAAAAGCAAAACTGTTCTGTTTTTGTATTGATCTTACAAAGTTTACGACCTGTGTACCCTGGGAAGCAAATCCAAATTGAGAGCTGGTAAAAGTGCTTGTTTACAAGCTTCCTCTCCTCCACTTCCCCGATTCATACCCAGGGAGGTCTTCCTGCTTAGATTTAAGCACCCCCAGCCACTGCCACCACATTGGCAGGAAAAAAAAAAAAAAAAAACCTGCATGGCTGGTTGGGTTTAGAGAACACAGGCTGGAGGAAAACATTGAAATATAAACACTATAGCACTTTTGAAAAAAAATTTTTTGGGGGGGCCGGTCGTGGGACCTGAACTCTGGGCCTGAGCACTTTCTTTCAGCTCTTCAGCTCCAGGGTAATACTCTACCACTTGAGCCACAGCGCCACTTCCAGCTTTTTTTTTTTCTTTTTGCTTATGTGGTGCTGAGGAATCGAACCCAGGGCCTCATGCATGCAAGGCAAGTGCTCTACCACTGAGCCACCTTCCCAGCCCCCACTTTTGAAATTTTTTTTGGTGTCACTCCTGGGGCTTTGAACAGCAGTGGCACTGTGCCTGAGCTTTTTCACTCAAGGCTGGCACTCTACCACTTGAGCCACAGCACCACTTCAGGCACTTCCAGCTTTTTGCTGGTTAATGGGAGATAAGAGTCTCAAGGACTTTCCCGCTCAGGCTGGCTGGGAACCTGTATCCTCAGATCTGGGCCTCTGGGTTGCTGGGATGACAGGCGTGCACCCGAGTGCCCGCCGCAGTTGACTGCCCGGGTGAAAGTGTCATCCTCATAGGCCACGCTGACTTGGCGGACTTTGCATCTCTCCTTCAGGTCTAACTTCAAACTCGTGGCAGTCCATTCCAAGCTCTATGCCATTGGTGGGCAGGCCACATCCAATGTGGAGTGTTACAGCCCGGAGCAGGATGCCTGGAATTTTGTGGCACCCTTACCAAACCCTCTGGCTGAGTTCTCCGCATGTGAGTGTAAAGGGAAGATTTACGTCATTGGAGGCTACACCACCAGAGGTGAGCAGGGCCTGAGGAGAGTCTGCGCATGTGCCTACTGCACGGGAATGGCGGTGTGTCGGCAGGGACTCCCCCCTCCCCCCAAACACACACCAGTAGTGTCATTGTGTACATCCAGTGGCACTGGTGGCTCACGCCTATGATCCTGGCTTCCCGGGAGGCTGAGATCTGAGGACTGCAGCTTGAAGTCAGCACAGGCAGCAAAGTCTGTGAGACTCCTATCTCTGCAAAAAAGGCTCAAGTGAAGGTATGGTCCCTCCCTTTCTCCTTCCCTCCCTCTCCCCCCTCTTTTCTCTTTCTTTTTGTCTGCTCCTGGGGTTCGAACTCAGGGCCTGGGCAGTACTCATGAACTTTTTGCTCAAGGCAGGTGCTCTATCACTTGAACCACATCTCTACTTCCAGACTTTTTTGAGTGGTTTATTGGAGATTAGGGTCTTGCCACCTGTCTGTCTGGGCTGGCCTCTAGCCTCGATTCTCAGATCTCAGCTTCCTAAAAAGCCAGGATTATAGGTGTGAGCCACCAGTCTCTGGCTGTCTTGCTTTCTATTTCTTTTCTAACCCAGAGCCCCTGAGCCCTGTGTGTGTTCGGCTGGTAGATTCCTAGTTTTTTTTTTTTTTTTTAATGTCTCTGGATGAGCTGTGAACTCCTAGTTTTTTTTCCTGACTGTGGTCTCTGTGTGTTTTGAGCTGCACAATCCACCATGAATGTACCTTCTGCCCTGGGGCCACCCAGTGTGATTGCCACCGAATTCCTTGTGCTCAAGGCCATGGTGCTAGCACACATGGATGAGCGCTTTCTAAGAGGAGAGGACAGGACAGCTGTGTGAGCCCCGCAGAGCTCTCCCTCCTCTGGGTGGGCCTTTTCTCAGCCCTTCTTATAGTACTTCAAACAAATCAGCGTGTGTGTGTGTGTGTGTGTGTGTGTGTGTGTGTGTGTGTGTGTGTGTGTGTGTGTGTGTGTTCTGATACTGGGACAGGAACCAAGTTGCTGTCCTTTTTCTCTTAAGGTTGGCACCCTACTACCTGAGCTACATCCTCCCTTCCTGCTTTTAGGTGGGTAATTGGAGATAAAAGTCTCCTGGATTTTCTTATCCAGGATGGCTTTGAACTATGAGCCTCAGATTTCAGCCTTCTGAGTAGGATTATAGGCTGAGTCACCAGCAGCATCCAGCTTCATCCTAATTGTTATAAATTTTTGTGTGTATATGAGGACTTGAACTCAAAAGCCTGGTCACTGTCTTTCGTTTTTTCCTCTCATAGCTAGCACTCTTATCACTGGAGCTACTTTTTGTTGGTTCCTTGGAGATAAGAGTCTTACATAAAACTTTTTTAAAATTTTATTTATTTATTTTTTATTGTAAAAATACTGTACAGAGGGATTACAATTACATGGGCAAGATAATGAGTACATTTCTTATCAAGCATTGTAGCCTCCTCCTTTGTTTCCCCTTCCCATCCCTTCCCATTCTCCCCCCACCCCCCCCACCCAGTCTTCCTCTCCACCACCCCCCCCCCCACCAAAATTGTAAAGTTCGTTTTCAACATAACGACTTGTTCATCTCATTGTTGCAATGGGTCCACCTGAATCCCTGTTTAAACGATTTGTTTTTCCCCTTCCCCTCCAAATTATATCGACATCAAATACAGTGAAAGCAGGGGTTATACTGTGGGGGAGGGACATACAAAGCAACAAAGAAATAATCTTATAAATGTGTTAGAAACAATCGCATGAAAGAAAAAACAACATTTGAATACATATCTGAGGGTTCATTTCCCTAACATCACCTTATCTGACCTTTTCTGCTTGACTCAGATATAAACTAGATATTGCAAATAAGGGAAACCATGGGACCTGTGTTTCTTTGGGCCTGGCTTACTTCACTTAATATATTTTTTTCCAAGTCTTTCCATTTCCTAACAAATGGGGCAATCATTCTTTCTGATGGAGGCATAGAATTCCATTGTGTATATATACCACATTTTCTTGATTTACTGAAGGGTATCTGGGTTGGTTCCATATCTTAGCTATAGTAAATAATGCTGCAATAAACATAGTCGTGCTGGTAGCTTTAGTGTGGTCTTGTTTGTAAACATTTGGATAAATGCCCAAAAGTGGGATTGCTGGGTCATATGGGAACTCTATGTGGAACCTCCATACTGCTTTCCAAAGTGGTTGAACAAGTTTACACTCCCACCAACAATGCAATAAGGTTCCCTTCTGTCCACATCCCCTCCAGCATCTGTTGTCATTAGAGTTCTTGATTATAGCCATTCTAACTGGAGTGAGGTGGTATCTCAATGTTGTTTTGATTTGTATTTCTATTATGGCTAGGGAGGTTGAGCATTTCTGCATGTGTCTATTGGCCATTCTTCTTTCCTCTTCAGAGAAGTTTCTCTTTAAGTCTTTAGCCCACTTATTTATTGGGCAGTTGTTTCTTTGAAGATTTGTTGTTGGGGGATTTAATTTTTTGAGTTCAAGGTATGTTTTAGATATGAGATCCTTGTCCGTTGTATGGCTCGTGAAGATCTTCTCCCAATCTGTGGGCTTTCTATTGATCTTGCTAGCTATGTCCTTTGCCATGCAGAAGCTCTGCAATTTCATGCAATCCCATTTGTCCAACCTTTCTTTGATTTGTTGTGTTTCTGGGTCTCTATTAAGAAAATTTCGGCCTGTGCCAAGGAGACCTAAGGTTTCTCCTATTCCTTCCTGTAATGTTCTCAGAGTGTCTGCTTTGACTCCAAGGTCTTTGATCCATTTGGAGTTGATTCTGGTACAGGGTGATATATAAGGATCTAGCTTTAGTTTTCTACAAGTAGTTAACCAATTTTGCCAGCACCATTTACTGAAGAGGCTGTCTTTCTTCCATTCTATTGTTTTAGCTCCCTTATCGAAGATTAGATGGCTATAGGTCTGTAGGTTCATTTCTGGGTTTTCAATTCTATTCCATTGGTCCTGAGGTCTGTTCTTGTGCCAATACCAAGCTGTTTTGATTACTATGGCTTTATAATAGAGTTTGAAATTTGGTATTGATATTCCTCCAGCACTGTTCTTTCTGTTGAGGATCGTTTTTGCTATTCGGGGTCTTTTATGAATTTTTGGATTGCCTCTTCTATTTCCTTGAAGAATGAGGTTGGAATTTTGATAGGTATTGCATTGAATTTGTAGATAGCCTTGGTAAGTATTGCCATTTTCACGATGTTGATCTTTCCAATCCAGGAGCATGGGAGGTTTTGCCACTTTCTAAGTTCTGTTTTGATTTCCTTTTTCAAGTTTTTAAAGTTTTCATCATAGAAGTCCTTCACTTCTTTGGTTAAGTTAATTCCTAGGTATTTTATTTTTTGTGGGGCTATTACAAATGGAGTTGCTTTCCTAATTTCAGCCACACTTTTCTCATTGTCTGTATACAGAAAAGCCATTGATTTTGGGGGATTAATTTTATACCCTGCTACTTTGCCAAAGTTTTGAATCAGCTTGAGTAATTTGGGAGTGGAGTCTATGGGATTCTTTAAATACAAGATCATGTCATCTGCAAAGAGGGAGAGTTTTACTTCTTCTTTCCCTATTTGGATCCCCTTTATGTTTGCATCTTGTCTTATATAAGACTTTTTTAACTAGGCTGGCTCTGAAGCATGATCCTCCTATCTCAGCCTCCTGCGTGTCTGGGATTACAGGCATAAACCACCAGCTTGCCCAGCCAACCTCTCCTGAATGCCTTTTGCTTCTTTGTGATCAAGTTGGGCGCAAAGTAGAGGGAATTTGTACAGAGGGCGGTGCCCCAGTGGCAGTGGGGCCATGCTGGGCTTTTTCTGTCTTCCAGACCGCAACATGCATGTCCTGCAGTACTGCCCGGTATCCGATGTGTGGACACTCTTCGAGACCTGCGGTGTCCACGTTCGCAAGCAGCAGATGGTGTCTGTGGAGGAGACCATTTACATGGTGGGGGGCTGCCTCCATGAGTTCGGGCCCGGCCGGAGGAGCGGCCAGAGCCAGGACATGCTGACAGTGCAGGCCTACAACACGGCTACCCGGCAATGGCTCCACCTCAAGGAGAACACATCCAAGTCGGGCCTGAACCTGACCTGTGCGCTGCATAATGACGGCATCTACATCATGAGCAGGGACGTGACTCTGTCCACCAGCCTGGAGCACCGCGTCTTCCTCAAGTACAATGTCTTCTCCCACAGCTGGGAGGCCTTCCGCCGCTTCCCCGCCTTCGGACACAACCTGCTCCTCTCTTCGCTCTACCTGCCCAGCACGGCCCGGACGTGATGCACGCACGCATGCACGCACGCATGCACGCATGGATGGATGGATGATGCCAAGAGGCCTGCTTCAGGAGGAAGGAAAGGAGAGAGAGGAAGGAAGGAAGGAAGAGAAGGAGGGAGGAAAGGAAGAGAGGAAGGGAAGGAGGGAAAGAGAAGGGAAGGAAGAAAGAAAAAGAAAAAGGAAAGAACAAATGAAAGAAAAAAGGGAAAGAAATAGGAAGGAAAGAAAAAGCAAAACTAGTGGTATGTTCTTTCTACTAGGGAAAAATACACTGAAATACATCCCATAGTTTGCACTAACAGCATAAATAGGCTTCAAATTGAATACATGTGGCAAAGAAAAAACCATCTTTATTACTTATGTTATTGATTTTCTTTTTTGTTTGTTTGTTTGTTTGTGGGGTTGTTTTGGTGCCCAAACTGAGACAAACTCAGGGCCTGGGTGCTGCCCCTTACCTTTTTTGCTCAAGGCTGGTGTTCTGCCATTCGAACACCACCACCACTTCTGGCTTTTTGCTAGTTATTTGGAGATAAGAGTCTTATGGACTCTTCTGCCATGGCTGGCTTCAACCTCCAATCCTCAGATCCCAGTCCTAAGTAGTTAGGATTGAGCTACAAGCCCTCCAGATAAATACATATTTTTACCATCCAAAGCTTTTTCTTAGTCCAGTGACTAAATTGAAGACATGAGAAGAACCAGAGTTGATGAGTGAACAGCAAAGATGACTTTGAACTTGCTTCATTTATGTTACTTAAACTCTAGTGTTTTAAGTGGAAGATTTCCTTTCTTTGAATTGACAACAGTCAATTTAATGGATGAACGTTAGTATCAACATTATGGTCCTCCAGCATCATATGCACACTTCCTGTGTGTTTTTGATATCTTTCCATGTTCAAATGCTTTATTTACATATTTCATTTTCAAGAAAGCTACACAAATGGGATTTCTTCATGAATACACACAAGCATTTCACCCTACTCAGACTTACACAAAGCTATCATCAGTGTGCTTTTTTGTTTGTTTGCTTTTTTCAATTTAGGAATGAAGAATAGAGACTGAGTAAAACCTCTTATTTCAGATTTGACATACTACAGATCTGTGCAGTTCATATAAGTTGCTGAGAGGATTGTTGAAAAGAGAGTATGTGTGTTGTTTTAAAGAATGAACATAAACATGTATTTTAAAGATCAGTCTTACATAGAGAAACAAGGAAATGCTAAATAAGAAAAAACAATTGCCTTTAAGGGTTATTTATTTATTTTTTTGTATATGTCAATATTGGGACTTAAACTCAGGACCTAGTGGTCTTACTTAGCTTTTCACTCAGGCTGCTACTCTTCTTCTTGACCAACAGCTCCACCTCTGGCTTTTTGGTGGTTAATTGGCGATAAGAGTCTCATGGACTCTGCAGCCTCCACTTAGCTGTGAACTTTGTTCTTCAGATCTCAGCCTCCTAAGGAGCTAGGATTACAGGCATGAACCACCAGCACCTAGCATTAAAAGAGTTACTTTCATTGAATGCATTTGACTTAGTTATTGTTTTGTTTTGAACAACTTTCCCATGTTGAAATCATCATGCTTTCTAATTTAATCTTAGCATTCATGCCCATGAGCACATTTACCATGCATGATGTCTGAGGTGTAATCTCCGGCACTAAGAAACACCCCAAGCCGGGCGCCGGTGGCTCACACCTGTAATCCTAGCTACATGGGAGGCTGAGATCTGAAGACTGAAGTTAGAAGCCAGCCTTGGCAGGACAGTCTGCCAATACACTTACCTTCAATAAACAACTCAAAAAAAGCTGGAAGTGATGCTGTGGCTCAAGTGGTAGAGGGCTAGCCTTGGACAAAAGCTCAGGGACATGCCCAGGCCCTGAATTCAAGCCCCAGGACTGGTTCCCTCTCCCCCGCCCCTCCAAAAACAAAAAAAAAACCCACACCAAAAAACCAAAACTTAAACCAAAAGAAAAAATGTCATAGTCATACTTAAGGAATTTATTTTTTTGTCTGTCATGGGACTTGAACTCTGGCCCTTGGGTACTGCCCCTGAGCTCTTCAGCTCAAGGCAAATGCTCTACCACTTGAGCCACAGAGCCATTTCTGGTATTCTGTGGTTCATTGCTGAAGTAAGAGTCTCAGGGACCTTCCTGCCCAGGCTGGGTTTGAACCACAACCCTCAGATCTCAGTCTCCTGAGTAGCTAGGATTGCAGGCGTGAGCCACCAGCCCGCAGCTACAATTCTTTTTTTTTTTGTCGGTTGAGGGGCTTGAACTCTGGGCCTGAGCGCTGTCCCTCAGCTCTTCATCTCAAGGCTAGCGCTCTACCACTTGAGCCACAGCGCCACTTCCGGTTTTCTGGTAGTTTATTGGAGATAAGAGTTTCACGGACTTTCCTGCCCAGGCTGGGTTTGAACCACAACCCTCAGATCTCAGCCTCCTGAGTAGCTAGGATTACAGGCATGAGCCACCAGCGCCTGGTCTACAATTTTTTTAATGGTGGTACTGGGTCTAGAACTTGGGACCTTATTGGTTGGCTTTTCTGCTCAAAGCTGGTACTCTACTACTTGAGCGATGCCTCCACTTCTGGCTTTCTCCCTTTTTTAAAAAGAGTTTTTCTGGTTAGTGCCAGAAAGGTGATATTTTTCCTACAGTGTAAATTGTCTTAATATTGAAGTACTGAGAAAGCTATGGATGTTAGAAACAAGGCAAAAGGTTAAATATGAAACCAAAGAGAATTAGTGTTTCTGTGTGTGTGTGTGTGTGTGTGTGTGTGTGTGTGTGCGCGCGCGTGTGCGCGCACGCATGTGTTGTCAGTATTGGGGCTTGAACTCAATGCCTGGACACCGTCACTTGTGTTTTTCACTTAAAGCTGTATCTCTTGAGCCACTGCTCTACTTCTGGGTTTTGCTGGTTAATTGGAGGTCAGAGTCTCATGGATTTGTTTGCCTAGCCCTGAACTGTGATCCTCAGATCTCAGCCGCCTGAATAGCTAGGATTTCAGGAGTAAGCCACGAGATGCCCATTCAAGATGGCTGAAGAGCAGAAGGTAAAGAAATCGCCTTCATGGGGTCAGCTGGTACAGTTAAATGGGATCAGGAGTATTAGTGTCATTCAAAAATTAACTTTAGAATGGGCCTTACAATATTTTCCTTTGTAGTAGTCGTTTTTAGGAAAAATGATGTGTAGGGTAAAGTTCTGTTTTGTCTGGACTGGTACTTCCTTGTTTAAAGGTGTGGCGTACACATGACTTAGATGAAGCACCGTAAGAGCTCTCCTGTGTCTATGAAGAGACTGTCTTCAAATAAAGCACTTGTGGATCACTGTGTTGTAAGATTTTATTTATTTATTTTTATTTTTTGTCAGTCTTAGGCTTGAACTCAGTGGCTGGGTGCTTTCCCTTCGCTTATTTTGCTCAAGATTGGTGTTCTACCACTTGAGCCACAGCTCCACTTCTGGCTTTGTATGGTTAATTGGGGATAATACTTATCTGCCTGGGCTGGCTTTGAACCATGATCCTCAGATCTCAGTCTCCTGAGCAGTTAGGATTACAGACATCATGCCTTTCATGTCTTGGCTAGCCAGACAAGACCCAGCGACTCCTGTCTCCAACTGACCAGCAGGACGCTGGATGTGGAATATATCTATAATAGCAGTATGTTACTTTATTATAATGATACCCTTATACCATATATATTATACAGAATGTGATATATACACACGATATGCATCCACTATGAGCTGTATATAGTGCATATATGCTTCAGTATATCAAACCATGGTATATTGTACTATACTATGGATGTCATACTATATATAATCTCTATCTACTAGAAATAGTATACGTAACATACTATAGCATACACATTATATGCTATACTATATGATGTGAGATACAGTAACATGCATATTACTATAAGAATCTGCCATGTGTGTAGTAAATATAATCAAGTCTAAGAGAGTCAGTGCAGGGAATTAGTTATACTTCTTTTGTTCCCTTTGTGTTGTGGGGCTTGAACTTGGGGACTTGCTCAGCCCAGCGCCCCGCTGGTTCATTGAGCCACATTCTGGTGGTTAATTGAAGATAAAAGTCTTGGATTTGTCTGCCCAGGCTGGCTTTGAGCCACAGTCCTGACATCTCGGCCTTGGAGCAGCTCAAATTCCCTAGGAGTCTGTTGAGGAAGGAGGTGCTCATCAGGGCTGGCACAGGCCTGTCAGCCAAGGCAGCACCGGAGGACAAACCAGTTCCCCGGAGGAGTTCCCAGCCCGGGAAAGCTGATGGTTCCTATGTGCTATCAGCTGTGAACCAGGGGCCAAGCACGAGTGCCCCCATGCACTCCTGCCTTGAGGGGTACTGACCCACTGGGAGGCGGCCCCCGCCTTGGGGGCGTACTGACACTCCGGGGGTGGGGAGGCCAGGAGGACAAAAACAGTGACTGTGAGTAAAAACGAAACAGTCAGCAGCACTGAAATTTAGCTAGAAAGGTGTCCAAGAGCTTTGAGAAAGGAGTCCGACCAACCACATACAGTGGAAGAAACAGCCTCTTCAACCACTGATGCTGGGAAAACTGGACGGCCACTTGCAGAAAACTAATAGTGGACCCCAACCTATCAGCATGCACCAACATCAACTCAAAATGGATTAAAGACCTTAACAGCAAACCTGAATCTCTGAAACTGCTGCAGGACAGAGTAGGAGAGACGCTTGAACTTATAGGCACAGGAAGGAACTTCCAGGGTCACAACAAATTGGAGAGACTTGACAAATGGGACTACCTTAAAATAAAGTTTCAGCACAGCTAAAGCTATAGCAACCAAGCTAGAAAGACAACCAACTAACTGGGAAAAAATATTTACCAGCAATATATCAGACAAGGGGTTCATATCCAGTATATACAGGGAACTCAAGAAACTAATCCCTCCCAAACCCAACAAACCAATTACTAAATGGGCAAGGGAACTAAAGAGAGACTTCTCAGAAGAAATAATAATGGCAAAGAAAGACATGAGGAAATGTTCACCATCCCTGGTTGTGAAGGAAATGCAAATAAAGA